CAAATGTACTTACATGTTTTAAATTACTTCTTTTCCTGATCATCTCCATCTACTGAAGAGGTGCTGTTTAAGAAATTTTTTTTCTACATATGCAGGAAACAGCAACTAGAGATTCTCAGGTATCAAAACTAAGAGAGAAGCTTCAGCTGATCAGTGCTCTCACAGGCAAGCCAGAAAATGACAGACCCATTGCGACATCAAAGAATGGTAAGAATGTCTTATAATAGCAATCCATAAACCTGAAGGTTCCCTGTGTAATTCAAAGAATAACTAATGAAGGGGGATAATGTACTGTTCCTTAAGATTTTGGTGAAGATTATTTTAACTGAAGTGGTAGGAAACCAGTGGCTCTAAAACAGAAAACAATACATGAATATAATAGTTTGAAGGTGTTTTTCCATGTGTATAGCATGATTCACGTGCATCAGTAGCTTGTATATGAAGGCATACCATGATTAACCTGTGGAAATTTATACCCAGTAATATCTGGTTTTGCTTTTTCAAAAATCTAAGTGTAACATAAAGGAAAGGTCTGCATCTCTGTTGACTTGTCTCAGTTCTGCACTTCTGCTGTATAGATGCAGGTAGTGCTGAAGATAAGATTTCAGGTACTTCATTACAATAGAACTGTGCTTGTTAATATGCTAAGCAGCAACTTAGAAGTTTAGACGTTACTGTTGGGGAAGATAGATACCTGAATTGACAAGGTGGAAACAACACGGGTGGGCAGATGTAATGAGCTTAATAAAGCTTGTTCAGCACTTCTAGACTGGGAAGCAGAAGGCACTTCCAAGTCATTCTTTGTATGGGGTTTACAAATACACATCTCCTAGTACAGCAAGAAAGATTAAAGCTGTATAGCTGTCCAGTAAAAAGTTTTCTTCCTCTATTCTTCCAGTTACTGGTTAAAAGGGTCAACACTGATGTATTCTGAAATGATTTTGCAGCATCTTTATCCCATATAGCATCTGTGATGGGAAAAAAAAATTATTGGATTGGGTTTTTTGTTTCTGCTAACTGTAATTTTGTGGAATCAGTGAGATTAATAGAAATTGTTTTGTAACAGCTGAAAGTAGTCAGAGTACTACAGCAAAGCCCACAGACCTTTCCAGGCTGGCTTCAAGGTCGGCTGATGACAACACAGAGAGTAACGAACAGCTGAGACATCTGTCTGTACCAGGAGTTTCCAGCATTGAAGGTATGTCCTTTGTAGGCTGACCTTTTTCTGAATATTTCATGTACATGTTTAGGAGACAGTAAGTATAAATGGAATTATAGTGGAGTGGCTGGGCATTCTGGGAGAAGTGAGGTCAGCTTTAAGATCTTGAGAATTATGGGCTTTTTTGTCTTTTAAAAATAAGGTAATTGGGGAGGGGGGGGAACCCAACAACAATAAAAAAAACCCCCCACAAACTAAAAGGAAAGAGTAGTATTTAAAGAACAGAAACTGGGATTTAAACAGGAGTATGAATTATAATTGAGTACCAAAGTATTATACCAAGTGCCTCAGAGATTGTGAGAAAATTTAAGGGCAGAATTAGGGTGCTGAAGGAAAATGAAGTAGGTGTTGAGTGTGTATGTTTTGCTTTGTGCTTTTTTTTTTTTTTTCTTCTTTTTTTTTTTTTTTTTTAAGAGAATACTGGTCAAATGAATGGTTTCTGGGTCTTGCTGTTCTCTTCAGCTACTGAAAGGGCAATGCTTTGCATCAGGAAATGAATAGACACTTTTCCCTTTATATCATCTGTGCTGTTGGTATAGCAACAGTCATTCAGAGCTTGCTTTTGTGGAGGGTGACTGCATCTGCATGCAGTTAGTGGTTGTAGAACGGGCTATTCGTTGTGGCCAGAAATAGGGATTGCTTTTTTCAGATTTCATGTAACTTAATCCAGAAATGTTTGTGTGCTTTTTCTCCTAAACTGTTAGTGACAGCTTGCGACAATGCAGACGGCAAACTACATACTAGAGGATGCTTTATTTAATTACTAAGCAGTAAAACATAGTGCAGTAAAACTGGAAGAGCAGTTTATAGGATATTCCTGTGTACTTCAAGGAGCTACTTTTCAATCCTTGTTCTCTTTGCAGATCTTAAGAATTTGTTTGAAAAAACAACTGGAGATGCTGATGGAAAACTGTCATATGAAGATCTTCAAAAGCTGCTTGGCTCTACAGCCCAAGAGTCACAGAGCTTTAAAAAATTTGATACAGATGGAGATGAGAAATACTCATTACAAGAACTGAGATTAGCATTAGATGTATAGGATATATATTTAGAAATGTGATACTGATGGATGCTACTGTAGCTAAAGGAAACTATGGGACATGAAAAACTACATCTGCACTTTCCCAGTGTTTTACTGATCTTTGGAGCTAAATTACTGTACACATTGCCACCTCTTTTTTCATTTGCATTTATTGAAAAGGAATTTTTAAATTTATATGTCGATAGAACATAATATTGGGACTGTGTTAAAATTCAGAAAATTCCTAAGCTTGGAAACATTTTATTCTCATTCTTTCCTTTTCGAGGGAATTCTTGTTTTTAATTTAAAATGTGTACATACTAAAATAAAACTATGGTTTTATATTTCACTGAAATTTGCCTTAAATTAGAGAGCTGCACTTTATGTAGAGCAGAAGGAAATCTGTCTTGTAAAGATGGGCTGCTTCTGCTTGTAAATATTTGAGGTAGAGTAAATTATGCATATTTAAGGGGAAGTTTGTGTCAGGGGCTGTGTTGGTAGTAAGCTGTTGATAATGAGAGACTGAGCCTAAAAGGAGTGTTAAGAGCTTCAGCTAAAGTTCTGATTTTGACTATATCCATGAATGTGTTTATACTAAGACAGAGGAAAGCAGAAGTGGTAAATCATGCCCATCTATAGCAGGATTTATTTTTAGAGAGAAGGGTCGAAAGTGTTTTTACATCATGAGCCTACAGGCGCAATTACCTACCAAGTGCTTGGGTTTTCACTTCAGTGTTCTTTTAGCTTTGCTGTATTGCGTCCAGATTACATTTTATGAGATAAGCCTATCTGTTTTTTAAAAAATAAAGTATTGAATAACAGATGCTTACAAGGTAAAAGTCTACAATGCAGCCTGCTGAGTAGCACCCAGATAGTTCATGCCTTGGGTACAGTCAGCGCTGTGCTGATGGTCTCGCTGACTGGAGATCTTTTGAACAGGGTTGCTGGTGTGGCCGGGTTCTTCCATCCACTGTTGTTTGGGTCGCTCTGATGAAGTGTCCAGAGTAAAGCTCCTGGTCACTAGGAGTGTGAGCAGGTAGGGAAGGCCCAGAGTAGACTTATGGGCTGTTTCCTGACTAGTGTGAGCATGATCACTTCTTGGTACCTTTACCTTTTGTGTTCTTGCCAACAGAAGGATGTAAAAGGCAGGACAGGAGTGTGCAGTCGCATCCGTGTCCTTTACTGACACATGCTTTGTAAGTGAGGTTTCCTTACTGTAGAGGAAGTTAAGAGTTTGTTTATCCTAGTGGATCTAAACACAGACGGTTTATAGCCTTCTGGAACATAGAAAATTACTTTTGCAGAAGAGATTCTCTTGCAGGCTAGATCAGGGCCAAGTTGGATGATTTTGCTCACAGATATTACAGATCTTGTTGGGAGTTTTTTGCATGATTAGTGAATTGAAGTTGCCCCCCTCACTGAAACCTGTTTATGTGGAAGTTGGTTCACAATTGTTGACTTTTATATAACTCTAGACTGGATGTTTTATGAATAACTGTATTCTGGAAGTATGAATCAGTGAAGGAATGTACAAAATGGAACCCTGTCACCCATTGCCTAGGCTTCTTTCACTGTTGCTCTTCTATCCTGTTTGGGTAATGCAGATGTGACCCAATACAGAAATGCTTTTGATGTGATGTTTGAAAACACAGTATTTAAAAACAAAACAAAACCAACCAACCTGGGCTTTGAGAGGACAAGAAGCCAACACTTGCTTCTTGCTGCTTCCCACACCCTTTTATACGCTACTGTATAATTCCTTAACCAAATAAAAAAAAAGAGCAATAAAATATAACCATTCTGGTATTTTATTTGTACATACTGTATCATAGCCACATGCCAGAGTTTGCAAAATATTTTTGGAAGTATGGTTTGTGTGAAATGTAACTTACCTTAAAATTTAAGGGATTATTGTATCGCCATGTGAATCTTAGTATTTTGTTTTGTTGCGGTCTGCTTTACTTTTAGCAGGCTCTTCAGCAGCAGTAGCGAAACCGTCGGCCTAGAGACGGCGCGTCCTGCTCCAGCCGCCCGCGTCCTGCCCGCGGCCAAGGAGCCGAGCTGGTCTGCAACTGGCACTGGGGCAGAGCTGTCAGCAGTGCTGCTTCATTTCCCTGTTGAGAGCATAGGCGACTGCTAATTGCTGTAGTCACTACTGTTGCAGGATGGACTCGTGCTATCAATTTAACAAAATCCGATTGTCCCCGAGTACAGTGGTCGCTTCTGTTTGGCCTCGGGCAGCCGGTAGCGGTGTGCTGCAGCCTGGGAGCACTGGGCCCTGGAAATTTTTTGCCACGCCACCGGTCTCCGTCCTGCGTGCTGCCCGAAGCCGCGGCGTTGGCAGACTTCCTCCCCCGTGTTTTAGTCGCGCTGCAGGGCGCGTAAAAGGCACGGGCATAGTAAACACACTTGTTTGGATCGGCTCTCTGCTGTAGCTCATGCCTAGAGTCCGTGGGTTTCCAAAGGGGCGGTTATTGGGTTCATTTTCAGGCTGTATTTGTGGGTTTTTTTGGGTGACCCCTGTGTAGGGACCACTGTCTTTCATGTCATTGACTGACCTTTACAGGGAGGGCGTGCATCGTCCTGTGCGCCGCTGGGTTTGCGCTGCGGCTCTCCGCGCTTTTTTTTTTTTTTTTTTTTTTTTTTTTTAATTCTCTCTCTTTAACCGTGTCACTGAACTTTCAATTTCTCGAAATAAAAGTTCCTCCCCCAGCGCGCGTCTCCGGCCGGTTGATTTTGGGTGCGGGACGGGGCGGAGCGCTGAGGCGGGCGGAGCGCGAGGCGGCGGGCGCCATGGCGGGGCCGCTGCAGCAGGCCGGGGCGCTGGGGGCGGCGCTGAGGAGCCGCGCCGCGCTCCGCCCGCTGGGGCTGCCGGCCGCGCCGTGCCGGGAGCTGGCGGGGCCGGGGCCCGGGCCCGGGGGGGCGCCGCTGGAGGAGAACCCCTTCTACGGGAAGTACCGGCACAAGATCCAGGAGCTGCGGAGGTGCGGGCGGGGAGGGGGTGGATCTGAGGTAACCGGAGGGCCTGGGGGGAAAAAAGGGCAGCGGGGGGGCTGTGGGGGGGCAGGGGGGTGTGTGTGCTGCTTTTTGGGAAGAAGGGGTGCAGGGGGAGCTGGGTTTTTTTAGGAGGAGGGAGGTCAGTTTTAGCTTTGATGAGACAATTCGTTTGGGCCTAATGCTGCCTTTAGATTCACATGCAGTTGGCGCCAGGTGAATGAGAGTCGTCTCCCAACATGATCGGCTTGATAAGAGATAGTTCTGCTAACAAAAAATTAAAGTTTTAACATGAATCAGTACCACAGTAAATATTCTAAAAGGCCAAGTGATGTTAATCACCCAATACTGTTAATAGTCCCTTTTCTGATTCAGATCCAGTCCGGAAGTGTTTGAATCCCGTATGGAAAAAAGAAATGAAGTGAAAAAGCAACCTGTAGGATATTCCAATCAAGGAGAATTTATCAGATGTATGGAAGAAAAGGCAAGGCCAATTTTCTTTGTAATTCACATATATTAAAGCTGTAATATCATTTATATAGGATCAGCATAATGCTACAAACATACAGTGTTCAGGTTAGTAAGGAGCCCCAGAATTTCACTCTCGAGTGGCTAGAAGTATTGCTCTGTATTCCAGTGTATTTTGCTGTTTTTCAGACTGTAAATTATGTGCCTAATACCTTAAGTGTTTAATTGGCTCCAGATTAGTTTGGCTAGATAGAGTGATGTGGTCTTGTGTTTATCATTTTTTAGTGAATGCAAGAAAACTGTTGAATAATATTTGATCCAAAATGCGTAATAGTTTGCTTTTAACTAATCCTTTCTGGCCTTGAAATTTGTAATTCACATTGTTGTTAATTTTATTTACTTCTCCTAATCAATCATTTATTTTAATAAAAATGCACATCTGTGTGATCTTGAAGTATCTTAAACTTGAGCTCCTACTCAGGTGACTTTTGTCAGCAGCCATGTTATGCATGGAAAGGAAGGCAAATAAATGGTATTAAAGTATCAGCTATAAAAGCTAAAGAATAATGTTTTCTTCTAGGCAGAAGGCTTGGGCACAAAGACATCAAAGGGAGGATTCACAAAGGATAAGGTAAGGGAGACAAACCTAAGTGTTAGGAGAGGACATGCTGGCAAATCAAGGACGTAGATTAACTTGTATAGCTACCATCAATGCTTCAGCAAAGAGCTGCTTGACATAAAACTAATGTTCCTTATGCTGCACTTGAGTATAAGATTTTAATTTACTGTTGGGATCATGTTTGATCTTAAAACTCCAGCTCTCTGGGTTTTTATTATCCTGTCCTTTCTCTTTGAAAGTTCCTACTAGTTAGGGGCTCTGTACTGAGTGTTTTCAATATAAATGGAAAGGGTTAAACTGCCTTTACAGCATGTACATATATTTTCAGAGATCAGCCAGCAGAGGGACTAGAGAATGATTTTATTCTCTTTCACATTTTCCTATTTTGGCAAACTTTCTGTGTAAATCTGCCAACAGAGCATGTGTCTGAGATGGCTGCAGGCAAAAGGCTGCAGCTCCTCTTGCAGCTTCAGTATAGATCTGCACAACTGGAGCAAAATGTATCTTGTGTCCTGATGGAATTTCTTCTATTCCATCTGAAGGTGTGAGTCCACTTTTCCGTGCGTTACTGCTTGTAATTTACTAGTTTCTTTGGCAATTAAGAGGACTAAGTCACACTGTAAATTGAATTAAGTTCCTCTAGCTTGATTTTGTTATCTGTAATTGCATCCATTCTGTATTCTCACTTGAATCAGAGCTGTTGTCATGCCAAATTCCTTATGCTTTCTTTTGCAGACGCTTGACTCAATTCTTAATGTTGAGATGGTGAAGGAAAAATCAGCAGAGGAGATAAAACAGGTGATAAATTTAAATGGAATAAAGTTTGCTCTACATATGTGCTTAATAGTAATCTACATGTGAGGATGGAAATTTTACTTAGACTGAAAAGTAAAACTTGTGTGGATGTATATTTATAAAAAGCACAGTCACAGTTTTCTCCATATAGGTAAGTCCACCTAGGATGTACCCACTTCATAAAATAACACATCTGGACTTGATCACTCAAAAACTGTCTCTGCTGTAATTCTTATTGTTGCCATTTAATGTGTGGTCTTAGCAAGCTCCTGTCAGGTTTGAAGCCAGGTAAAGGGAAATCCTAGCAGTAGCTCATATGGATTATGTTACATCTGTTTTGCTGGAATAAAACCAAAGCTTTTGCCACCTTGTACCTTTGTTTGCGCTGTCATTCAGGAGCCTCAGTACTCATACTAAAGTTGGTTAGGGTGAGAAGGAGGTGGGTGGATCTGTTTGAAGAACAGTGTGAATTAAGTTATTCTCCCTAATATCTGCTTGACTTTGCAATGTATTCCCTTTTATCTAGTTATAAGTCACATCTTTTGTCCATTTATTAAAGACTTTTAGCTTTTATGTTGGTATTGCTGTCCTGCTGTGGTGAAGAAAAAGATTGTAAACACAGGAATATTATGCAAAGTCTTGTCTACTGTTGAAAATGTTTTGTATGTTCTTTACTAAAAACAAACAAACAAACAAAACCAAAAACCCCTCAAACTCTTTAGAAATTGTTAGTGTGATTGTTGGGAAAAATGTTAGAAGTAATTCTGATGGCTAGTAAATCTTGAGCCATCTCTAAGCCTACTGCTTATTTCTGTTATCTTGTTGAGATTTGTTCTTTGGTACAAGTACTCTGGAACCTTAGGAGAAGCATATTGCATTAGCAGGCAAGTCAATCAGGCTTGATCAAAAAATTATTTTTCTAAGTGCTTATAAAAGTAAGTTGACAAATGCAATTCTTCTTAAAGCATTTAATATTACTGCTAGATGCTTGATTTTAACTGTATCTAATCTCCTTTGTTTGCAGATTTGGAATCAGTATTTTTCTGCAAAAGATACGGTTTATGCTGTTATCCCTGTAAGTAGTTCCCCTATAGCTATGCACTTGAAAGGCCAGTGTGCAAAACTTTCCTTTCTAACTGTGATTCTGTTGCTTTTAAAAGCAATCACTGAGGGAAAATGAGGTTTCAAGAACAAACTTTTTCCAGATTGAGTGATCCTATTGCCCCAAATAAAGACTTTTGTTTCCAGAAATGTGTATTCCTCTTTTTTTCACTTACATCAGTCTCAATAAAGCTAGTACCTTTTTCTGCACACCTGGCTTGAATGTCCAGGCATTTTTTCTTACGAGTATCCAATACTCTTTGCAGGGCCCTAGTATGTATTAGGGTAGCATTTGTATTTTCACATAATTTTTTTCAGAGTTGCTCATTTCTTTCCCTTCTTCCTTGCAGCACGGACTGCTAACTCAAGTTTAATATGGCAGCACTAGCACACTTGGCCAATAACTTGCACGTGGCTAATCGCTTACAACTTACTTTCATACATTTAAAATTATTGGCAGCACTGTCTTTCATTGAGGTTGCATGGTGCTTCCTGTGATAAGATCATAATCTTACTCCTGATAACTTTACCAGATGTTAATTGTAGTTAATCTGTGTTAGGCCAAAGGAGTTTTTTTTGCTTCTGGGATTTCTTCTTATTCTTTGCTTCATAGTCTCTGTGTGATTGTGATCTCTTAAATCTGTCTTTTCACAGCTCAGCTCAAGCTGTGTGTTCCTTGAGTTCTTGAAACGTCGTTTAGAGCTGGGGTCTGCTTTACGGTTGTACTTGGCCCTTTGAGCTGCAACTGAAGTCAGTGGGAGGCTATATTCTAAGTGTATGAAGTGCTGTATGCTCTGAAAATGGCAGTGTGGGATTTGAAGTCAAGCAGCTTCGTGTTTCAGCTTTCCCAACATGTGGATGTTGGGAAAATAATTTAAATTGCACATTTACTGTAGCAGATGGCCAAAGCCAGGGATTCCAGTGAAGATGGTGTAGGTCTTTCATTAGTGGGGCTGGCACTGTTCTTTGGTGCACTGTTTTAGAGGAGCTTTGGAAGCTTCTAAGGCTTTTAACACAAACCACATCCTAGGCACATTAGGAAGTAGTTCATGGTGTCGCTAGAAGCGGGGGGAAAACCTGTCTTTTGCCAGAAGCTTTTTGTTGACTGGAAGAAAGGCCCTGTATAATTCTTAAGTGCTCAGAAGCATACACAGAGGAATTTCGTGTTGATCAATGCCATGTGTTTTCCCTCCTGCACACCTCAGAGTAGGTATCAATATATGGCACCAGGAAGAGAAGAGTAGGCAAAAGATTTGGAGGAACACGGAGAACACATGAATGAGATTGCCAGGTTTCAGGGATGACCAAACGTGTTTGTGGTTTTAGTATAAACGTAAGCAATAAGTATGTTTGAGTAAATATGTAGGCTGCATTTTAATACTGAAAAACAGATGACTGATGTAAAATCCACAGTTTGGGGCCAGGGATATGTCATCTTGCTCAGCTGTTGACACCACATGATGCAGTGGAGCTATTACTGGAAGAGGACGTAATGCAAGCCTCATGCGTGGGCCCCCCGCCTCCAAGGAATAAAGCTTTGGATCCAATGAGTTTGCTGTTGCATCTTAGAGACAGCATTGTTAAAATGGGGTACTGATGACATTTAGGTAACGAAGAATTAAATACAGTTTTCCACACACTCATTGTTAGCTGTTCCCGCAGTAAGACCTTCTGTAGATGGAAGTTGTGCCCTGTAAAGGTTAATGAGGTGATTCTGAATAACTCTGCAACCATGTTTGTGTTACAAGAACTTAATTTCTCTTTTTCCTTCCCCAAAGGCAGAGAAGTTTGATTTAATATGGAAGAGAGCCCAGAAATGTCCATCGGTACGTATGGCAGAGACTCGCAATGCGTGGATGTATAGCTGTAATGCATTTATCCTCTCTGAAGCCTAATGCATCAACTTTTGACCCTCCTGCATTCAGATTTATCATATCAGCTCGATTAGTAAAGTCCAGGTGTTCAAATACTTGTCTTAGTGTTCAGATAAAAGCAATGGCTATTCATATGTATTAAACAGTTTGATCGAGCTATCAGCTATCTAGATATAATAGCCGTAGGGTTCAGAAACGAGAGCACAGAACCTCCCAGGGAAGGAATTTAGCTACATGCCTTTGGTTTCCATTTATTGATGTCTTGTGTTTAAGTCTCTTCTGTGCAGTGTTGTGAAGAGCCAAGCCTTTTAGGCCAGCTTCCTTGATGTTCCTGCATATCTTTCCTTATTGCTTAAAGCATCCTTGCTTTAACTTGGAGGAACTGTTGTTAGCTATAGCTACGTGTCACCATGGCATTTCATTGCACATATATGGAGAAAGTGAGTTCTCTTGTCTTAACAGTTGGTATGAATTGCTCCTCTTTTCTTTTTATGTTTCTTTGCTGGCAGTGAAGGTAGGCAGGAGTATGTGAAAAGGCAAACAGACAAAGAAAACAATATATTGGGGTTCTGTCCACAGAAAGAGCTGAACCGTGTCATTTATTAGCCTGTTTTTCATCATCATAAATGCGCATACCCATGCTTTCTTCACCCAGCTGTTGATATGTGATAGGTAAATACTGGTAAGGTAGTGTGAGCTATTTGCATGGAAGCCATGCTGGGCAGGCACTATGCTGTGTCAGTAATGCATCTTTGTAAGGGCATGTGAGTTATCGAAAAAGACTATATGGCATGCACTGCAAAATGTATAAGTTCTGTTGTAGAGCACTGTAATTCATCAGCTGTGAAGGCAAGGAAGGGGGAATCGGATGTAGTCAAACCCTTTGTTACAGATAACAGAGTAAATACTCTGTGGGTTGTGTCTTAGGTGTATGCCAACACTGCAAAGCATAAAATACTGCGAATGTGTAATACGGTTATTTCAGAAATGAGTGGATTCCCAAGATGTGGGTTCACTGTTTCTCACATGGGTCGGTGGATATCTTGTAAGCTTCAATTAGAAGATTCCTGTGTGAATAAGTATGTTGTTACTTTGAAGAAGTTAAACTACAAAAGAGCAGAAGAGCTAACAAGCTAAAGGATATCTTTCTGCAGTTTTGTACCATGTGCTGCTGGATTAATACTGTTTTCTGTTGAAAGTGATGTGTTTTTACAGTAATTGGTGTGCTGAAGCGTGGACTTTGTGCAAATTTCACTGTGCTGACACAGAAATTAAATGCTTCATTCCTTTATGAAAACAAAGTATATAGACTTTGCTGTGCTGAGAGTCTATATACTTTGTTTACAAAAGCAGTAGATCTGACTGGGACTTTACTGGATTGATGAATTGGTCCTGCATATTTCACTTGCCAAGAGCAAGATCAAATAGATCTGCCTTCCCGAGCTAGTTGGAGCCTGGAAAGTTATTTATATCTTTAAGTGCATTTCTGTGCAGTGCACTGGCATTTAGTCAGGTATACTGCATGTTTTTCTGCTTCCACATTGTCCTTTCCCTTGGTGTGGGAAAATGAGCAAGTACCTAGCCTATGGAGCCGAACAGACTAAATTTTCTGTAGAGAGAAAATGCTTGCTGCCTGTCCTGGAACAGTTGGTGAAATGACAGGATTAAATACTCTGAATGTTCCTTACCTTATATTTGACCATTTCTGCTGTTAATTTTCTAGAAGTGAACAAAAAGGTCAGAGTCTGAATGTTCTCCACTGTCCTTTCCTTTGTCTGTCTCGTATAATACTGATAAAAATATGTGCGAGAATATTTGCTAATGAAATAATACTGATAAGGTAATGTTGGCTTATTGTCTGCTTTTATGCTGGAGAACAGTATGACATGGCCATCATTTTCTTCTAACAAAGGGAGAAATTTTTTTTTATCTGCAGTTTCTGTATGCTTTGCCAAGAAAAGAAGGCTACGAGTTCTTTGTGGGGCAGTGGTCAGGAACAGAATTGCACTTCACTTCCCTAATAAACGTTCAGGTGAGTGATTGAAATAAAAGGTCCAAAAATGGCATAGGGTCCAGAAATATCTAGTATCAGTATATTACAATATAGAATATTTGCTAAATGGTTTAACAAACAGGTTGTCTAGCTTAACTTTAAAAGAATTATCAGGGAAAACCTGCCATTAATTATGGGTAAATTAATAAATTAATTACAGGTAAATTAGGAGATTTATGGGAATTAACTGTATAATCTAAAGGAGAATGAGGTAAAAGTCAAATAATCTCAAAACAGAAGCAAGAATCAAATTTTTTAGAACTGTTTGTGCAAGCTACTTAATATACCACTAGATGCTCTAAGATGAAATGTCCTCCTGACAATTGTGGGTTATTTTAAATGAAAAATGGTCTTTAGTCAAGAAAAAACCCAGCCTAAATCTTCACATCCCTTTTTTTCTGTACATACCAGGAATAGTGAACTTTTAATTAGAACTGACCCTTAAGCCCTGAAAAATTATTGCCTCCGTAGCAGTTAATACTCAAAGTTTTGTAATCAATCCTCCAAATCTGCAGTAGAACTGAAGTTCTTTATGGGATACTGACCCATGTCTTTGTCTCCTTCAGACCCAAGGTGAAACTGCTCCTAGCCAGTTGGTCTTGTACCATTATCCTGAGCTGCAGAAAGAAAAAGGGATAGTATTAATGACAGCAGAAATGGACTCCAAGTTCTTGGTAAGAGAAACCTGCTCACTGGATTCCTTCATTTTACGTTGCAGCTCCTCCTACACTTTTGAATTAAAACCAAATTAAAGTGAACTCTTTAAAAGACGCTTTCCCAAAGAATGGTCTTACTAGATTTCTTTAACCTAATCTATTTAATACTAGTAAAAGCTAGAAGGACATCATCAGTCTGTCTATCTGGAGATTTAAGATCATGTATTTTTTTTTTTCTTACTTTGGGTATTATAGTTTATTGTTACGGAAAAAAAAAAAGTGCTTTTTTTTTTTTTTTGCTTATTAATGGAAGCAAATTTAAGTGAAAGCTGTTGCTACCAGCCAACAAGTTAAAACAGAGTTTTTGAAGCTTAATGCTACTTATCAAATCAGTAGACCTCCAGAGCCTTGTGTTAGGTTTCTGTGTGCCTTTGCTCTTTTCTCTATGTGTGGGTGTACTGTTATTTGCATGTCTAATAGCACAGTGCCAGGACTAATGGCACTGGGGATTATACTGGCAGAACAAGATAACTAAAGCATCCCACCTCTAACTGACCTGCTTATACCAGTTCTGAAACGCTGTGCAGAGGAGTCATTGGTAATGCATTTGCCCTGTTGTATCTCAGAGTGAACAATCAATTTTTGCAAATAGGTCAACCAGAGGAAAAGAAAGATGAGACTTTGATGCACCTCCAGCACCTTAGAGTGAGCAGGGATCGTGAAAGGCGTATTTGACCTCTGAGGTGTATGCTCAGCAGGAGAGTACTTTAAAGGCACAGTGCTAAAGTGTGGAAGTAGGTCAGGAACAAGAGGGAGGTAGTTTAAGAGATTTGCTAAACTGAGGTGACTTGGAATCGAGTCACTCGATGAGTAGGACTGCAGCCTTTCAGCTGCTGAAGGGTTGTTTTCAATGGGATGTTCAAATACAAGAAAACTCAATAGTAACACGTTCTTTGTTTTAATTTGCAGGTGGTCCATGAAGCACAGTGCTTGGCAAATCAGGTGCAGCTTTTCTATGCAACAGATCGTTCTGAGACCTATGAATTAGTGGAGACCTTCAACCACAGATCTAGTGAATTTAAGTATATGTCAGTTATAGCAGAGCTTGAGCAAAGCGGGCTCGGAAGAGAACTGAGGCCTGGTCAGGTTTCTGACAAGTCGTAGAGCCTGACCTGCAGGTGAAGTGAGCCAGCAGCAGGCAGGGGTCTTCCTAGATGGGGTGGTCCTGTCTCTTCTGTTTTACGAACTTGGTTTGGCTACAGAAAGGATCTGGAGACATCCTGGGAGTGTGATAGTCAAGCCTGTCTGGTACTGATGCAAAATGAGGACTTGGGCCATTTGAATGACAATAACTAATTGCCAAAATGGGGCCTTTCAGTGTAACTTCATCAGAACAAGCCGTTTTCCTGTCCTGTAACTTCCTGCTGCATGCTATATTTTTGAAATCTAAAATGAAGTGACAGAATGGGAGCTATGTAATGGACTGTACTGACATCAGGAGAGAGCTAACAACCAGTGTTTCTTCTCAGTAAATGATTTGAAATGCCCTGTGCCATTATAATTGCATGGTCTGGTGCTTTTTAATCTGTGTGGAATTTATACAGACTTGTCCATCAAGAAGAAACAATAAGACCAGTGGTCTAAAACAGACTACTCTTTGTTACTTTGTGTGTGAGGTTCCTTGCTCAGATGTATACTGTGGCCTGTGTTTTTCTCAGGATTAAAAAATAGAATGACTAGATTTGTTCTGGGAATTTTGCTGCTTAATTGGTATATAAATTTTATCCTGTTGATGTGTTTTTGTCTTAGAGATATTTTTTTTTTTTGAGGAATATGATATTATGAGCATGGTTTTATTTTTGTATATTTTTTAATAGTGTAGAGGAATTACTGCCTGCTGTATAGGATTAATTTTTCTCACACTGGCATCTACAAATGGTATTTGAAGGGACAGAAAATAGCTCTTGTTCCTGTTTCAGGAAAGGCACTATCCATAATAAAAGCAAGATGGACTGGCGCAGTAACAGAGAGCGAGCCACCAACCGGCTTCTCAATTGCTAAGTGACAACTCATGAGAAAAATGTATTGGTATGAACATGCATAGCTGCTTTAGCATGGCAGCCTTGGTAGGAATCTGGCTTTTAAGGAGTACAGCTGGCTTGGTTTTTTAAACCTGCCTTCAACAGAAGAATCCCAAAGCATTCATGCTTAGAGCTTTTCTTGTTTTCATTCCCAGCAGAGGCAGCCAGCCCGTCTGTGGACAAGGGCATTCTGCAGCAGCACGACGTGCAGCCTGTGCCTGCGCTACCAGCCCACCACCACTGCACAGGTGGACAGGTAAACAGGACAGCCTGGAGCTTCCCAGGAGCAACGCTGAACACTTTCCCATATCCACATCAAGTCCCTGGCACTAAATTGCCCTTAGCACTAATTATCCATTATGTCTGGGCCGCACTGCATCCTCCATCAGCCTGCTGAAGCTGGCAAGCATTCCCTCCTTTGCCAACGAAACGGAGGCAAGAAGGGGATGCAGCTAGGTTCTGTCAGAGGATGACATATTTTTGGGGCAGGGCTGGTAACCGATTTTCTGTGCTACCCTTAACCACAACCTGATACGGAGGTTTGATTAATTATAAAGGGCTCTTACACAATCTGTTTGCTAGTGTAATTGTAGGACCCTGTCGCTGTAATACTGTCACTCCATACTTTTGCAGCTCATTCTTTGGACACGAACAGTGTTCAGCTAAGCACTAATGGTTGATAGTAAGGTTTTATTGTTGGGGTCTATTTTAGCAGTGACTCATATATGCTGGGTGTGAACTCGTCCATTCAGGGAATTATGTTTTTCGGAGAGGCACATCTGAAGCTTTGCTGCAAAGAGATGGTCTTTCTTCCTGGTAATGGTGTCTCTTTGTTTCTGATTGTGTTGAGTCTGTGAGTCTGTGCATAGCAGGAGAATAATCAGAGGAGATGTGGATAGGGCTGTTAGAATATGAACAGCAAAGCACCTTTATTAAAGAGCCTTTCTACTTCTACAGGATTCATGCTCCATTTATCATTTTTCCTTAGCTGAAATAAGGGCAGTTTTGATTCATTATTCACTTCCTGCTTTGAAGAAGTCAAAGTTGCTGTATTCATTTTTAATACAGCTGTAATATAACATCCCTGGATGAGTAATGGGCAACAGGAGTGAAATTCAAGGCTTCCAAATCTACACCTGAGCCTCCTTGTGAGCTTAAAAGATCAGAGTCTTTAGTGAAGGCTGTAGCAGTCAGTACCTGTAATTTTGAGTGTTTTTTTTCAACCCATCGTGTAATTAATCCAAATCTACGGACTTCTCCAAGGTCTTAAAATAGACAGAAATGGCAAAGTCAAGAAAAGGAAACATTTCTTGCATTGCATGCATTGGAGCAGCTTTTAAATAAGACCCAAACTGAAAAGGCCAAGCTGATCATGCTGCCTGCAGCCATATTGCAAGAGACTGCATTTTCTGGCCCTGGCGAAGGTGGAATGGACTGATGGAGGGGGCTTTTTTTCTGCAGGTGTATTCATGTGCCTCGAAGTGCACACCGTAACACCTTAACCCTTGTCTCAGGGTGAGACCACTTGACACAGGAATGACTGACTTGGTGTCACTGACCTGGTGCTGTATCGCATCTCCCCGAGAAGAAGAGGAGCAAAAAGCTGGCTAGATTTGTATGTACGTGTGTGTGCAGTGGCAGGGAGACAGCTGAGGGCTTACAAAACTGAAAGGTGCACACCCTCCTGGGAGGTATTCCCAGATCTGCTGCTGAGGATGGGGTTGGTTGCAGCCCCAGAAATGTTACTGCTGTGTTTTCTCCAGGAAGGCAGGCTGATGGACTGTGCTGTTGTGAGCGGGGAAGCTTCAGACAACTATTCCCTACTGTATTCCTGTAGGATCTGTATACAGATTGTATTCCTACAGATAATGTCATGTTGGCATTCAGATTGTAAGAGTAGATGGCCCGGTAGCCTGAGATGCTGCGTCGTCAAACCAGAGCATCTTGGTCATGGAAAACAGAGTTGTTTCACTATTCAGTGGCCCAGTTGTAGGGTGCAAGTTTGACACATTGTGAATAAACTCCCTAATTTGTAAATGGAAAAGTGGAAACTTTTGGTACTTTTGGAAATATATATGCTAATGTGTGCGCTTGTGCTACAGTTAGAACTTGAACAGCCCACTCAGATCTGTGCTGACTGCTGCTGTGATGGCAATGAGGCTGAAACCGGGACAAAGACCCATAATAAAAATGTCCAGGAGAAACTTTAGGCCTGATCTCCTGTCCCAACGAACGCTTGCTGTAAGGGGGAGTAACTCAGCTGAAGAACTGGCCCCACAAACCATCCTTGCTGCAGAAATAGGCCAGCTGTGGTGGCCGTGTGCCTTTTCTGGCTCGTACTTACGCATGAACGGCGCTGCCGGCAGCCTGGCAGGGGCTGCCCACGGGGCCCTACGAGCCGCAGCTCTGCGCAAACTGGCAGCTGTGCCGGGGTTGAGCCGCTAGAAACTCGCGTGGGGTGGTTAGATTGGAGGCATTTAGGATCCGTGTTGAGCCTAAGGGCTGGTGGAAATAACGCTGTTGGTTTGGGCGCGGGGAGGGAAGGGAACTGCGAGGCTTCTGGGCCGTGCAGCCGCTAGAGGGAAGGTTTGTCTCCTTATTCTGAGCTGTCGGCACACACACAGCTTGCGTGAGCCTGTCTGGTCAGCTCTCTGAGCTTAGGGTGAGTTTTGTGCTAAAAAGCACTTAGATGCCCAGGCTGCTCCTCTGTGGTCGATAATGTGGTGGGCTGCACTGTGTTAGACAACAGTTCCCCTAAGCCCAGCGTCCTAGATCCTAAATGAACTGCCCTGGGGAAGGGCAAGCATCCTGTGCTAGTTTTCCAGGTCGCTTTGTTGATTTTTCAGCCGTTTGTGAGCCAGGGTTATCCTGAGCTGTCTTTAGTAGCCCTCGAGTGATCGTGTTCACGGAGGAGAAGCCCAAGTCACCCTGTGGCTCTGTGTAGGCTTCAGCCCCTGCAGCAGCCTGCAGCAAGGACTTCACGGGAGAACCAGGTGCTGTAGGTGCCACCTCCTTCCCTCGGTGCTGTCTGCGCTCTGCCTCTGGCTGGAGGAGAGCCCAGGCTCAGGGACGTGGCAGCAGCTCCTGCTAGGGAGCAGCAGAGCAAGTTTAGCAGCCAGATGCTCTTTGTTACCAGCATCTCGAACCCCCGGCTTGCCCACGCACCCCTGTCACCCCAGGGAGATGTACCCCCACGTCAGCAGGAAACCCAGAGCCCGTCCTGCTCCCCTGGTTTGCGAAAGGCAAACAGGAGACACCCTGGTTTGTGAAAGGCGGCTGTCGCAGCAATCAAGGAAGTGCAGATTGAAGGATGATGTTCTTACCCTCACTTAAAATGCTGACTCCAGTGCTTTTTCATCTGTGCCGGTTTTTTTCCCTCTGCCTTAGAAAATAGCAAGACTCCAGTGCCCTCTGATCCGCAGCTGAGGAAGTTCTCAGTCCCTATCTTTGAGCCTGCGCAGGACTTGGTGGAGCAGAGAGGGGGAACTGACTGTTCCTGACGCTGCATAGCCGAGGCGGGCACGTCCTTTGCCTCTCTGGGAATAACTGGAGCAACCCCATTGTTCCCTTTGCTGTGTCTTGTGGTCTGTGCAGGCACACAAAGCCTGGGAACGAGCGTCTCCCTGGCCCGGGGGGTGCTGCGCCGAAGGGGTGCTGGCCGTGCAAGGGAGAGCCTGGCCCAGTGCCGCAGGGGGCTTGCAGGAGGCTCACTGCACCCACCCCCCAGCCCAGCTGTGTCCTGCCAGGATGTGTGAAGCTGCATCCCCGCGTTGGGCTTCTTTCCATGACCACCCGTGAGGTCCGATGGAGCCGCCCAGTGCTCCGGGCTTGCTTCCTTCCCCGCTTCCTTCCCCCCGATAAATTCAGCTATGCACCTGCCTTCAGGAGCGAGGCCAAACTCCCCCCTCTTCCTTTCTCCAGGGCAGACAAATGCCCTCTTCACAATAACACATCCCTCCTGCCCCAATCCTGCCCCTCAGACCTCTTCCTCTTTCCCAAGTGACTCCTGCCCTCCCTCCCTGCAGCTGGGACCCCGGGAGGCTCCGGGACTGCGGGCTCTCTGCTCTGCGAGGTTTCCAAAACCTCATGCAAAGGGGTAACTCCCTGACTGGGAGGTGCTGCCCACCCCTGTGGACTTGTGGGGTGGCAGCTGATGCAACTTCAGCCCTCGTGCTGTTTTCCTGGCCCCTCTCCTTTGGCTCCAGACCACTGAGGGTGGGAGGACCCCATCTTTCCTCTTAAGTATTTTGGCTCCATCTCGCCTGGATATAAATCCTGGCCATGAGTTTCCTCCAGGATCTTTGCTACACGGCCAAGCCCCCTCAGTTTTGGGTTTGTGCCATTTTTTGGCTGGGGTTTCAGTTGAAAGTTTCCTCCTGGCTTGACGTTAGCTGTCAGGAGTTACATCTGCTCTGCAGACCTCCTTCTCCTGCTCACAAGGTCGGAGGACATTTTGTGGTTTCCTGCATCCCTTGGGGAGGAGCGCAGACACGGGTGCCTGCCAGGTCCCTGGAGTGGAGGACAGCAGCGTTGCTCAGCCCTTGCTGGGATTTGGGGTGGCTGCGATGCGCAAGCAGGGCGCATCCAGCATTGGGGATGCTCCCTCAGGTGCTGAAAAAAGACTTCACAGAGCTGCTGTTGCTGCAGCCAGACATGGAGCTGGTTTGCCAGCAGCTAGGAAGAGTCTGCTGGGCTACTTGAGCCAGATCCTGATTTTAGGGGTGTTGCTTTGACCTGAGACTATCTGCAATGACAGTGAGAGGTTCGCTCAGGGGTGGGAAAAGGCTGATGTGGAAAAGGCTCTGCCTCCACAAACCAGCCCACATGCCCTGGGGTGGATGTACACCCAGATCTGAGCTTTCGAGGTTAGGGATTTACTGAATTAGCTGAACGTTGTGCCTTGAGGGCATCACCCATAGCTGAGAAGCCCCATTACAGGGGAAGGAGTCCAAATCCTGCAGAGATGCGTCCTGCTGGATGCATGGTCTGTATGGGGTCAGAAGGTAAATCCACAGCTGCAGCAGCAGAAGCCAGGCGGGGTTCAGGGAGGCAAACCCTCATCCTAAACCCTCCTGCTTCATACAAACATACCCAGTGGCCGGATCCTCCTGCCGTCTCAGGCTACCGGGTTTGTGGTTTCCTTTCTCACACTCCTGCTGCTCCTTACCCCCACCTCACCCTGCACCCCGGCCCCCAGCTCACAGCATCACCTGCAAATGCTTGGTTGAACCCGAGTTTAACACCCATTAAAGCAAAGCCTAGAAATGTTTCCCTCACTAGAACTGTCCTGGTGCCAAACAATTTGCAGATGTTTCCAGCAACACGAGTATCAAGTCTCGCCGTGGCTGAGCCGGGCTGCTCCCCCGGGGAAAGACGCTGCCGTGCCAGGAAGGGGACCATGAGCTCCAGGGCCATGCTGCGGCCTCCCACCCCACCGCGGCACCCATGAATATCACACGTGGGGCACACCACCAGTTTTACATCCCCACCCAGGCGTCTGACCCCGAAGCAGAGTCCCGGCCCGCGCCGAGCCCTCCCACGCTGGCGCTGAGCGTGCTGGCGCAGGCTTGCTTTCGCCGAGCGGTATTTAAGTACTGCAGTGCGCTTCAGAACTCACCCCACCTCCGAGACCGACAGAAAGTAAGTCTGCTCTGTGCAGCAGAAGTTTTTCTGGTTTTTTGTTTTTTTTTTTTTTTTTTTCTTTCTCTTTGGCTTTTCTGTTTTGGACGGCGTCCAGCTTGGCCTGGCACTGAAACCTCCGGCTGATTTTTGTGTGCGTGCAGAGGGGGAAGGATGAAGGGAGAGGGACTGCGCAAAAGAGGAGGGAGGGAAAATACTGTGCAATTTCATCGCCTTTCCCCCAGCGTGCTGCTGTCCCGTGAAAGCCTGGAACCAGCCAGCGGCGTGGGACTGCGCACCAAAAAGGACCTCAGCATCCAGGAAGGGTGCGTGGGTGCCGGTGCGGGTGCCCACCCATGAGCGTGGGTGCTCGCCGCGGCGCTGGAGAGGGCCGGCAGCCCGGTTTCCCCGCGGGTTTTGCAGGGACAGCTGGAGCTGCCGGCGGGGTCAGGATGTGACATCACCGGCTGGAGAAAAACCCTCGGCCCCGGGTTTCGCTAACGAAACCCCAGCGAGCGCCGGAGCGCAGCAGCTCTCCCTGCTGCTGTGATCCCCAGCCCGCCGACAGTCCTGACAGGGAGCCTCGTTTGGACTACTTAATTTTTCCTCCGTTTTTCCTTAGTAAGAGCACAAAGTGCTGCAGAGGGATTTGGGACTGGAAGCTGGCTGTGCCGGGGGATGAGGTGAGTCCTGGGGGTGGAAAAAGCCAGTGATGCACCCCTGAGGATGCTCCTGGGGTGTTTTTAAGCACGGGTTGGGCAAGACCTGGTTGGGGTTAGCCTAGGAAGGAGCAATCCTTCACCCAACCAGGGCACAGACGCCTGCAGAAGGCTCTTCCCCTTCCTCCAGCGTGCCTCAGCTCAGCTGCCAGTGTGCAAATACCAAGGGAGCCTGTTTTGGGGATGCAGGAGGGTCTGGGAGCTGGCGGCGGTGGGGCAGGGAGTACTGCAGACAGCTGGCAGTGCACAAGAAGCGGGGGGACCCACAGGGAAAGGCAGCACCCTGTGTGGGCAGACACCCGTTTCCTGGGTGGGACAGTCCCGGCAGCAGATTTGCCAGTGTCGGAGGGAGGGCAGAAAGTTGTGGGTGGGGTGTGGGGGGGAAACTGGGTGAGAGCAAGCAGTGGAGATGGGTTTTCAGCAGCTGGTTTATCTCCTCTCGTCTTCTTCCCTGAGCTCGCAGGCCTGGAGCTCCCGGTGTTTGGGATTACGGCTCTGACGGCAGAGTAATCGCCCTCGGGACCGAACCAGAGCAGTTGGACACAGCAGAGGTCACTGGACGCCTCTCTGCAGGGTTCCCAGCAAGTCACCGGTGGCAGCAGCGACATCCCAGCCCCCAGGAATGAGGTACCGCCAAAGAGCCCCTGGCCCCACCGGGTATCACCCCCAAAATGAATTGGACATGCTGCCTCTAGCCTGGAGAGATGGGGCTTTGCTTTTCTGCTTGGACGCATCTTGGGTGACTTGGGAAAAACTTTTCTAGTGGCTTTGGGCCAGGCTGTGGTCCTCAGGGAGCTGCTGCTTTGCTGGTGGTGTGGCAGGGAGGCAGGGTAAGGAGTGGGTCAGGGCTGGGGGTCAGTGGGAGCAGATGGGGGGCAAGCCAAGGTGCGTGTGGTCCCGTTCCTGCAGGTCGTGCTGGGTCCATTTTGCATGAGCTGGGGCTTTCCAGGTGCCAGGCAAGCCAGGGGAAGCACCAGAACAGCTTCCCACTGGCAGCTGCCCCCAGCCAGGGCACAGCGGGGTGAGTCTTGCTGCTGCTCCCGAGGTGGATGCTCAGGGCTGCCTTGGAGGATCCTCTCACCTCGCGTGGGTCTCTGTGGCACCGGGGGGGGGGTTTTGCACAAAGAGGGTCTGGCGGTAGGGAGATGCTGCTGAGAGCTCAGGGCTTCTTTGCCGTTCCCCCAGCCCGTGTGCTGGGCCTTGATCCCCCTCCCAGCATCTTGTCTTGGCTTGTTTCCTGGAATTTTCCGTCGTTTGGGTTATATTTGGGATCAGCAGCCAATAACCCCGTTTCTCACGGACAGCCCAGCTGGGGCTTGGCTCCAGCAGGAAGCACAGATGGAGCGGGGCCAGCACCCCGAGACTGTGCTCCCCAGTATCCTCCTTATGCAGTCCTCCTTCCTTAGATGATTAAAACTTAGACGTGGCTATTGCAAAGGTTGGAAAAGAGGGGATACCTTCCCTTCCCTGGGAGCACTGTGCGCCCACAGCCCCTGCCTGGATTGGGGCTGGAGTGGCTGCAGTTCAAGGGTTGCTCAGGAAAAGCAGCCTTGGTCTTCGGGACACAAGTCCACCAAGAGAAAGCCCTAACCAGCAAAGATACTCTGCGACAGGTTGAAGACCAAACTTTGCAACAGGACTTCTCTGGGGCTTGAAGTTCGGAGACAGGGCTGTCGAGTCAGCAGCCAGACAGTAACGTTTCCTAGAGCAGCGAAAAGCCAGCCGAGCCCCAGGGCCAGCTGGTTTCTGGTCAGACTTTCCAGCTGGAGGCTGGCTGGCTGTTTTGGGGCTCTGGCAGGCAGTGGCTGAGCTGATGCCTGCCCTGCTCCTCTGCCAGGCACCCGGCAGGATGGGACTTTTATGCTGTGTGTGGTGGGGAGAAGGGAATCCCCTAAAGCAGGGAAGCAGAAGTACACATCTGGGCTGCTGAAAGCAAGATGCCCCGGGGAAGCCCGAAGGGGATGTGCAGAGCTGTAGTATTTAACCTACACTTTGCTCTGTGGTGCCTGGAGCTGCATGGATACGGGCTCCATCTCCACAGCCTCTTCTCAAAGTGGGAACCGGAGTCTCCCTGCAGATTGCCCGGGGCGTTGGAACCCTCGCTGTGCGCCGAGGGCTGGAGCTGCTAAAGCAGCTGCCTGCGGCTTCCAGTCAGATACTTGTGCAAGTGTGTAACTGTCTCAGGCCAGATCCAGAGAGGACGCGCTCGGCACCAGAGCTGTGGGAGGTGCTGGTGTCAGAGCCTTCCTCCCTCCTTACCTCTCACGATCAATAACGCTTCCCAGGGGAAACTGCAAAGCACTTTTCCCTCTGAAGCCTTTGCTTTTGTAGCCCTTGATATAAAAGCAGCCTGGGGAAGGAGAGGAGTTTTGAAATTGGGGAAACTGAGGCAGGGAGCGTGGGACCATCCCTGGTGCCATCACCCTGGAGACCAGAGATGTGTCTGACTGATCCTTCCCACTGGGTTTCTGACTAAAGCTTATTTGGGGTCAAAACCGGAGGTTTTCTTTGGTGACCTTGCCTTGCGCCTGCAGGACTGGGAGGGAGGAAGCCCCCCCTCCTGCTGCTCTGCCTGCTTTCCCCTTTTGTTTTGCCAGTTTCTAAACAGACCTTCCAGAGTTGTTTTTAATTTACAACAAAGGCTTTGCCTTGCTGTGTTCCTCTGTGGTTTTCAAATGATAAAAAAAGAAAAAGAAAAAAAAAAAGCTTAAGTAAAAAACCAAAACAACCCTCAAATGTGAAATTAGTGGCTTAGTTTGACCCTGAACTTACAACACCCCCATCCAGTTCATTTCCTTTCATCTCAGGACCTGCCAGCAATCTAGGAAATCAGTTTTTCACGTGTCTCTGCCTGCTACATCCCCAGCAGCAGCTCTGCCTTGCCCTTGCAGAGCTTAACCCTGCATTCATTTGGTTCTTGCTAAACCTAACTGAGTTTTGCTTCTGCTGTCACTGGTGAAAACAGGGGCAGGATCGAAGCCAGCAGCCTTCACAGCCGTGGACGGGGTTTTGTGGCCGTTCAGCTGGGTTGATAGCCAGACCTCTGCAAAGCCGAGGCTATTTTGGGAGTGCGAATGGGGGTGAGCACTGAGCATGCCACGGCGCGGGTGTCCCACGGGAAGCGGCGGCCTCTTTCCGCCCAGCAGCTTTGCTCATCCTCCTCCGACTGTCCTTGGCAGGAACACGGGGTGACAGTGGGGTGACAGCTCCGTGTCTGCCTGCTTCACTCCATGCCCACTCCTGGGAGCGGGACAAGGTTTGATTTGGGGGGTTTGCAGATACTTCAGGAAGGGGCATGTGAGCCCCCGGGGTGCCGGCACCACCCCGTGATGGGAACTGCGGCGTGGTGACGTGGGCTTGCAGCCTTTGCCAAGGCTCCTCTTGGGGAAGCTTTGATTTTGCACGTGGGAACCGAAGGCAGAGCGCTGCAGGCTGCCGCCATGGTGCCGGTCCAGGCCCCGCTGGCACGGGCCGGCGGCGGGATGTGCACGGTCATGTCACAGGCAGCTGCTGTCTAAGCTTGCTGAACGGCAGCTCGCGCTTTGGATTTCCCAAAACGGGCAGTGCGAGCACCGATTTGGACTTGGACGGGTCTCCTGTTCCCCCAAGCCCCAGCGGACCACAGCCTGATTTCCAGGAACGCGACAGCTCTGAACATCAGGCTCAGCTGGACTCTGCGCCACAGCTAAACCTTGGGAGATCTCCCATTTTCCATCTCTTTATGTGGATCTGTCCCAAGTACTTGGCCAGTGAGGGAAGAGCACCAGCCGAGTTGGATGCATAAAGGTGAACACCAGGAAAACCTGTTCTTGCATTCGCTGCTGATGCCCTTTTCCAGCAGTTAGACTCAGGATGTGTCCGGGTCCATTCCCAAAGGACTTTGCTTTTCTTCCCAGAAAGCGGGGGCAGGTGCTGGGTCCCTGCCCAAGGGGAAGCTGAGGCATTGGTGACTTTGCAGAGCCTGTTTGCTCCAAGCTGGTAGGTCCCACCTCAGCACCTCAGCTGCAGGGGCCAGAGCTGGTGTTTCAAGCCCTGGTCCTGGCCTCCACGCAGCTCCCTCCCTGCGCTGCTCACATCCCTCCCTGCACATCAATCTCTCTGGGCAATGAAAGCTTTGGAGCGAAGTAGAGAACAAATCTGTTCTTTGGCCTGGTGCCTCTCACTGCTTCTTCAGATCATAAATCCCAGGATGTGTTTTTGGCTTTGTGTTAAATTTAATTTCTGGAGAACATTTTTTCTCCAGTAAAGATTGACAAAGCCTTTTAATGACTTGGTAATTTAGTAGCGATGCTGGCGAGGATCCTGAAAGCAAAACCACTCGCGTGACTCCAGCGTGCGTGGCTGCCCGGGGAGCAGAGAAGCTGCGGTGCGGTGCTGGCGTCCCGCGGGCTCGGGGGACAGGTCTGCTCTGAGCACTTGGGCAGCAATGGGTTTTGCTCCCCTATTCCCAGGAATCTCTAACAGTTGTATGGTAGGAAAACACTCAGCAGATGTTTAGCAGGTTTGTTGCCCTTTGGGTTTTGTGTTTGTTTTTGTTTTTTTTTTTTTTTTTTTAAAAAAACTGGTGTTTTATTCAGCTGGTACTGAAGCATGAAGCACATTCCCACCTGCCTGATGAGTAAGAGCAGCTTGCAGGGTAACACAGACATCCAGATGTGGATAATTCAGAGATGCAGTTGTGGAATGAGTTACAAGTCTGGCTTCAGGAGATAAGGTGCAGAGTTTATTTCCCAGTCAGTGGCTCAGTATTTGCAGAGGACTTGAAGTGTGAGGCACATGAACAAGGGAACCCCTCTGTATTCATGGAGAACTGATTTCTCTGCTGATGGCCTTTGCCAGTGACACTTTTGATGGGATATCATCTGACAGGGTGGCTTCTCATCACCCTGGAACAACCCAGTCTCTGCATGGAAGAGCCTGCAAACAGCAGTAGCTCCTGAAGCAGAGCGAATGGAGCTGAGGCCAGCAGAAATGGCAACAAAGAGAAATGCCTGTTGGCACGACCTGCCTTGATGAAATCCCAGGGAAACCTCCTGGGTCACAGCCCAGTCCCTGTCTGAACTGATGTTAACCCAGAGGGACTGTGGGACCTGGTGGGATCAGTCCAGTCTAACACAGGGATAACCAAGTTGTTCATCCTCCGTCTACCCAGCAAAGGGACCGAGGACACAGGCTTGGTGTGGTGCCCTGCGATGCCCACCCAGCCTGGCGGGGTGGCAGTAACTGGGATTTACCTGGGTGCTGGGCCAAGGGGCTGCTCAGCTTTTTGGGGGTCAGAGTCTGACTGGGGATGGGGATGAGGGAGCTGTGGGATGGATTAATGAGTGCTGCATCATCCCTGTCCTGGGAAGCTGGCAAGTATCAGATGGGGAAAACCTGACTTCTCATTAGGGGCATGATTGGGTTTTTTTGCTTATTTTAATGGCCTTTATATTTTAGCCAAAGCCCTCTGATGCTGGCTGGTGACAGGAGAGAGAAAGGAAAAATAATTCACGTATGAGGGTATGGACAGCAGCAAGGCAGGGACAGCCCCATGTCCTGGTTTGGTGGTGGCAGCCCCATGTCCTTGCTTGGCGTCAGAGCCAGTTAGTGACAAATGCTTTAGGGGGGGGGGGCAAAAGCACCAGAGGTGCTGCTGGCCCACTCCCTCCCTCCCTCCCACGCTGGCTGCAGGGCCGGGCACTGCTCAGCTCCAGTGTGCCTACAGGCAGACCCTGCTGGATGCCTCACCCCGAAGGGTATCCCAGCACTTCCTACATTATTTTATTAGGATCCCCACTGCAGTATTTATAAATAAATATATATGTATGTATATGTACGTATTTTAGAAACTGCTATGCATTAGCAAACTCCCCAGGAGGCTTTTTTTTAGAGGTGTTATCAACAGGATGTGTCTTGAATATGTGACGGCTGGGTGGGAAGCCCCAGATAAGGGATTTTCTTTACAGCCTTGCTGTGCCCAGAGTCCCCTGGCCTCCGTGGGTCTCCCTTGGGACTGCCATACCAGAGACCCTTCCCCTTGGGACAGGCAGGAGTCAGGACGTGATGCCAGCTCCCTCCATCAGCTGGCATGTTGGAGAGCTGGTGCTCTTTTTTTGAAGTGGGGAACAAGCCCTTTGGCATTGTTGGAGGCAGCTGCTTGGGGCAAGGGAGGAAAAAGCATCCAAGGAACATCCCCCCTACTCGTTGCCCTTTGGCAATAAATGAGGACAACAGGGCTGGAGCTACTAAAATCCCACCCAGCCACATGAGCTGGGGAAGATTTGCAGATACTCCGGTGTTAAAGTCGTCCTGCATAAAACTGCGCGATGGCTGTGACCTCCTCCATGGGGCAAAATGAACCTGAAAACATACGATTCCAGGTCTGGTGGTTCATGGGTACAGCAGAGCGTGGAGGGGTCTGGTACCACCATGCTGTGAGTTACAGAACGGTGGCAAAGCAACGTTTCAGCCTGTGGGAAAGGCTGTGGTTAGTGCACTAATGGCACTCCTGCTGGGGTTTCCGACCAGAGTCTGCACCCACACCAGGGTTTTCCCCTCCCAGCCACATGCTGGCCGTGGTGCAGAAATCCCCCCCAGGCAGATCCTGCCAGTGTCTGGGATGATCACTAGGTCCTGCTGCTTCCCAGTGATGCCCCCATGGGTGGGCTTTGAGGGGAGCATAGGATTTATCTTGCAAGATGTTTAGCTGGTGTCTGCTGGGCAAAAGAGGATCTGCCTGTGGCTCAGGACTAAGTTTACAAAACTTAGAGTTTATATACAAAGCTTTTGGCTAAAATCTGTCTTTTTAATGATGAATGTGCATCCAAGTTTTGCTCGGGCACCATTCCTTCCTGCTCATGACTTTGGGTAAGTCGCTTCCTCTTTCCGTGAATCTTTCTCTTCCTTTTTTTTTTTTTTTTTTTTAACTCTTTTTCCATCTCCTCCCATCAGGGGGAGGCTGTTGGAGGACTTTTTCTTCCCTAGACCTCAGCAAAGCATTTAGCACAAGGGGGCCTTGATCTCACGTTACCACCACTGACGATGAGTGCAGGTAACAAAACGCACAATTTCAGCCTGTCTGGGACAGCCTGGGGTGGATGGGATTTCCGCTGGAGCTTCAGGGAGGAAAAGGAAAAAAAAAGGGAAATACCATAGCCCTCATCTGTGCTGCTAACCTCGGGCAGGAAGGGGTGAGCTCAGCACTTTGCTGAGCTGTGACTGCCAGAGCGAGTCACCCAGAACATGGGGGCTCGCCACCCCAAGGGCTCCTGTGTGCATTGTGTGCACGCCTGGAGGGCCAGCAGCATCCTGGCACTGTGCTGGGCTGCCGTTTCCCTTCTTCGGATGCAGGTTTTGTTCTTTTGGACAAACACACGAGGCAGAACAACAAAAATAAACCCCCCCTTTTCCCATTGATCTCAGCGCTGGGGCTGTGTGAACCAGCAGCCAGCTGCGGTTCCAACGCAGTCCCCAGGGCATCACTCGCCAGCCACCACAGCAGGGTCGGGGGTTATTTGTGCTGAGAAATCCCTGGGAAAAAGACATTTCTCCTTTGACGGAAGAGGAAAGGGCCACCCGGTTGGGTCTGCTCAGGCTGGTGAACTCTGCTGATATCGTGGCTCTTGCTTTATTGCAGCAGTTATTGATAAAAGCCCTGGAGGTAAGAGGCTGGCTGGAGCATGGCAAGCTCCTGGTGTGCTCAGTGGCTCTGTCTGCCATCGAGCCCTGCACAGGGCACGGGTGGCAGCGCTCACCCTCTCCGGTGCCGGGAGCTGCTGTGTGAGGTGGCAGCAGCCACTCCAGGTCACCCTGGTGGGTGTGGAGGGGCCAGGAGCAAAATCCCAAATCTCCGTCTCCATGTGCTGCCAGAGCAACAGGGCCAGCCAGCATCCTGGTGCGAACTCATCCCTGCGAGCGTGCCCACGTGGGCAGCTGGCTTCATACATGACCAAAATTTGTCCCTTTCTTCTCCCAGAGACCTCCACCCCTGAAGACCCCAGCCTTGGGTTTCACGTTGCGCCGAGCCTCTGCGCTCACCCTGGCCAGCTCTGCCCGCCATGGCGTTGTGTCTCAAGCAAGTCTTCAACAAAGACAAAACGTTCCGTCCCCGAAAGAAGTTTGAGCCGGGCACCCAGCGCTTTGAGCTGTACAAGAAAGCCCAGGCCTCCCTCAAGTCTGGGCTGGACCTGAAAGCAGTGGTGCAGCTGCCTCCCGGCGAGAGCATCAATGACTGGATCGCCGTGCACGTGGTGGACTTCTTCAACCGCATCAACCTCATCTACGGCACCATGTCAGAGTACTGCACGGAAAAGACCTGCCCCATCATGTCTGGTGGACTCAAGTATGAGTACAGGTGGCAGGATGATAGCAAATACAAGAAGCCAACAAAGCTGTCGGCTCCGCAGTACATGTGTATGCTGATGGACTGGATCGAGATGCTCATTAACAACGAGGACATCTTCCCCACCAGGATAGGTGAGTGTGCTCTGGTTCTTCACGAGAAAGCTGGGGTTGTAACTGGTGCAGGTTCCCAAGCTGTTGGTGCACCTCAGGGTTGGTATTGCTGAACTTTGTGGTCCCAAGGGTTGTGGTCTTTCCTGTTTCAGGTGTTCCTCAGTGTCTGTCCCACACTCCTTTGCTGCAAACTGAGCTTGGGATTCCTCATCCTGCTCCTAAGGGATGTGGAAAACAATGTTGTCCTTTTCTGTGCTTGAACTTTTTCCAAGTATTCTGCGCTTGTGAAAAATGGGGGCTGGTAGGTCATCAGCTTCTTTGCCCTTCCTCAAAGAGCTGAGCTGCAGGGCTGGTTAGAAGTGGTCATCACACCCCTGCAGCACGTTCTTCTCTTGACTAGCCAACTCAGTTTCTTTCTGGTTTCCCAGGTAGGTTCATGGTGCCAAGGTCTAACCCTCGCCCCACCTTGCTGCTTCACTTCTCAGCCCCTTTCCATCTCTGATAATTCATCTCAGCTCTGATTATATATCACATCTTGTTATTTAGTTAAGGCAACCCCTGAGCAGAGATCTGGCCTTTCCAGCTGCCAACCCCGAGGGTGTATGAATGCACCCCTTCAAAATGTTCAGACCCAAAGGCTTGCAGCAGCTGCCAAGGGCAACACAGCTTGCAAATTAACCCCTCTGCTGCTGACCTGCAGTGCTTGGCAGCTGCCAGGGCTGACAGTTGCCCTGCTACTTAGCTGCTTCCTTGTCACTTGGAGAGATGAGCCCAAGGGTTGGAGCTGATGTGTTGGCTGGTGGGGCTGCTGGAGCCTCTGGTCGTGCCTTGGAGCAGTTGCTTTTCAGATGAATCACAAAGCTACTTGACTGTAAAAGAAGATTTTACAGGGTAAAATCCTCAAGGGGAGGGTGGGCAGGGGGGTGGGGGGAAGGCATGGTTTTGCAAGTCTGCTTGAACTTTTCTGCTTTCCCAAGCAGCACAGCTGACAGAGCTGTATGAAATCAGTGCAGTTTAGGCTCAGGATTTTAATACGCTGGGAAACATTGAAGAAAATGGTCTATGTGGGATTACTGACAGCCACTAACTGTTGCAGCCCCATTGCCTGTGCTCTAGTACCTAGTTGTCTTTTTTGGGAAAGTCTCTGGCCCTCAGCCTCAGAAGGGTTGTGGCTCTCTGCAAGCAAGAGGGGAAGCAGCATCTGCAGGCTGGTTGTGCCAAACTATTCATTTTGGCTCCTGGGATGGGGTGACCACCCAGACCCCTGGTCTGACCCAGCTGCATTGTTTTTGCCTGGGGTTGGGGTGGTACAACTCTCCTTCTGAGTTTTTTTTTTTGTTTTTCTCTCCCCCTCCATCACCTGCAGGCAATCGCTGCCGCCTTCCTCTCACCGGCAGTGTGGGCTCCTCATGTCGGACAGGCAGATAGGCTGCCTTTGGGGTGCACGGGGGGGCCAGCCCCTGGGATTCACCAGGGGCGTTTGCTGTGCCGTGGAGGCATCCCTCCCTCGTGGGCTCAGTGGGCTTCACATCGCAGCAGACAGGGGAGGCTGGACATGTGCCTGGCTGACAGGGTCAGTGCAGGATGCTGTGCGCCGGCAGCCCCAGCCGTGCTGGGGACAACAAAGTCCCCATTGATCCTGGCAGCGGCTAGACACAGGCTCACTGCTGCCAAGGGGCAAAATGGCAGCCACAGGGTACAGGCTGGGCCTTCCTCTTCCCAAGGTGGCTTGTTCACAAGCTCTTTGTGCCATTCAAAGCAGGGGCGCAGGCGTGGATTTACTCCATTTTCCCTCTGGTCAGAAAGGAGAGTGTCCTGGTCCAATTTCGTGCCTTTCGGGTGGGATTTGGGATGTGATGCTGCTTGAAAGCTGCTCTGAGGAGTCAGGGCTACAGGGAGTCTTAACACTGTGGAAAGGCACGGAGGGATGGTGGCATCGCAGCACCCTCTGCTCTCCCATGTCTCCCTCTGAGGTGCAAAAGCCAAGTACAGTCATGGCCCTGCTGATTTTCACCCCGTTGTTGGCACTTCTCCCTCTGAGGTGTAACAAATTCCAACGTAGGGAGGGACAACTGGTGCCTCTGGTTTCCACTTCTCCTTTCCTTTTGGCATGGGGCACTTCTGGGTGAGATCTGGCCTGGCCACAGGCGGTCAGAGAGCAAACCCATTTTTTTTCTCTTCCAAAGCCATTCCTGGGGTCCCTCTTCCAAGTCCCCTTGTTGCAGGGACCCTTGTGTCCCCGAGTGACTTCAGTTACCTTGTTGGCGTGTCTTGATGGTTCTGGCCTCACACATGCGAAAGGGAACTTAGCCTGAGATCACACTTTAAAACGCAGGGAAGTCTGTTGGGGGAGGCAGGGGGAGGAGGGAGCCGGTGGTATTTTGTCATCAGTGTGTCCCCAGTTAACTGTCTTTCACTGGCCTGCCTTGTGCACTGGGTAATTGCTCAGCAGCTCTGGCATTTCAGGAGATGGAGGTATTTGGCCAAAGCGAAATGTCACATCCACCCGTTCCTGAGGGGGCTGCTCCTTGTCCCCGCGCCGGATGATGGGGGAGGCTGCGGGACGTGCAGCAGGGAAGGACACGGAGGTGCTCAGCCTCCCTCCTAAAGAGCCAGCCCCTTGGGCAAAGACACAGGGCGAAGGGACTAAGGCAGTGAGAGGATGAGGGGGGATGTGAGCTGTTTTAAGGAGGGTAAAGGAGTTTGATGAGGGGAAATGATAAATCTCATGCTTTGGAGTCACACTGAGGCTCTTCAATATTAGCAGCAGAGATGGAGTTTAGCATGAAGGCTTGTTCCACTCCTGCTTGTACCGGAGAGGTCCACTGGCACAGCTGACCGCTATCTCGGTGGCTGCTTCATGAGCTGTGTGCATCTCAGCTTTCTCTCCGGGCCACTCTTTGCCATGTGCAGCAAAACTGTCCCAGCATAAAATCTCCCTGGCTAAGGCCACCTGACAGCAGCCAAAATAGACTTTTTTTTTTTTAATTTTTTTAGAAACAGTAAGTGTTCCCCAAACTTGCTACTGTTGCCTGAGGCTAACCTCAGCATCCTTCTCCATCCAAAAGCTACAAAGCCTGAAGCAGCACATGATTCAGCAGGGCTCACTCACGGCTTTCCTGACAGTTGAGAGGTATCTCATGGGGCAGAGGGGGGAAATCCTTCACCCTGGGGTGAGAGGCTCATCTGGAAATGAGCAGAGATGGTTCACTGGCTCGTTGGCTCGCAGGGTCCTTTGGCATCATGGGGGAAACCCTGGCTGTGTAAACAGGCACAACCCCAGTGATCGGAGCAAAGCTGGGCTGATTTGCACCACTAAAGCATCTGGTCCTTCGGCACGTGTCAGAGGTGGGAGAGGAGCAGAGCGACCCGGGTGACAAACACCTTTGGTTTAGCCAAGCTGTGTGATGCAGAGCTTGTGCCGGCTCTGCAGCGAGGCCAGAGGGGCAGCTGACATCCCAGACAGCAGCCAGGGAGCCCGCAGGCAGCTTGTGCCCTGGCCGAGTTAACCAGCGGGATCCGCAGCCCTCGGATGGCACCCTTGCACCAGTAGAAAATCCCTGTGGAGGTTTAATGGGGCTGCCAAGCCCTCTGTGAACCGCAGCGAGGGTTGGGGGGGAGATACCGCATCTTCCCCATCCCCAGGGAAATCCACCTGCAGGGCTCGGTCCCACTTAAAGGCTTTGCTGTATAATCCTTCCTCTGGAGAGGAAACCTGTTTGTCTGCTGGTCAAGATGAGACAAATCCCTGCATGGGGTGAGCTATGCCAACCTGATTCCTATAAATTTACAGCAGCAGTGGCTTTCCCAGACAACCCATATCAGTTTGCATGTGCTAGTGCTCTGTTTCCACTCTTCCAGCCATTGCAGCTGTCCTGAAAAATACATTTAAATGAAGACTAAGCATTGTTCCCATGGAGGGAGGAGAATAAATGATTCTACAGGTGTATTTTTACCAGCTGGTAAAACTGTATCGGTAGATTTCTTCAGTGAGTGGCCACATGAACAAATTGCCACCTGGAAAATATTGGCTCCTCCTGGTACTCGTTCTGCCCTGTGGTGCCCGGTTTTAGGGAGCTGTTGGCGGGCAGTAGCACACTGGGGAGCAGGGTTGGGTGGACGGGCTTTGCAGGTCCCGTGGCAGCCAGCCGTGTCTGCACCAGTCAGCCCCCCATCAGGCTGCTGGTTGCACAAGGCCAGGCATCCTACATCAGCACCGTCGCGGCTGCTGAAACCTCTCCGTTATTAAATCAGTGCAGACACGGGGTTTGGACCAGACCCAGCGCCGGAAACACCCCGTGCTCTCTGCCAAATGTGCCGGTGGCTCTAAAGCGCATCAGTCATAGGAGGTTTTGGAGCAGTTCTTAGAAAGCTTTTCAAAACTCAAGCTCTGCCATTCTAGCATGGTCCCAAAGCAATTATAACAAACAGAGAGAACTTGGTGCAGAATTAGCCAATACTTTCTCCCCATAACAACAGGAGAAAAATGTTCATAATTCAGCTAATTATTGCCGTTCTCTCCGCTGCCTATTTTTTACATGTTTTGTCTTTTTTTTTCTGCCTATTTTCTTCCAAAATTAACACCACACCAGCTTGCAGCTGCCATCATGCCATTAGTTTTAAATGGGGCTTTAAATACTTATTTTTAGGAAAAAATGAATCACCGAACACCACAGTGGCCAAAATGGAATTGAGAAATAATAACAACAACAGTAATGGATCTCGTACTTCATTGAATTACTGTTTTTGTAGAGGAAAAAAATACAATTGCCAAGAAGCAAAATAGCTTTCCAGTACTGATTCATCGTGAAAAAATTAAATTGACTTGAGCACGAGGGTTAGGGACAGGAGGAGATCCAAGAGCCATTCGCAGTCCCTTACTGTAAGCGCAGGCACTTTGTTACCTCTCATTTTCATTTCCTTTTACACACAGTCCCACATGGTTTCCTTATGTTTCGAAGCAATCAGCACAGAGTGGGGAAAACAGATTTCTCGGCATATTAAATCACATCTTGGGGTTTTCATGCAAAACACACAAGATAAACTGAAGGTGCTAATTCATTCCAGGGCTGTGAGTCATGCCGCTCGCCAGCGCCCTGGCTGCGATGCAGTGAGTGAAATTGTACCTGCTGTACTTAGAGCTTTTGCCCTGGCTTGGAGCACGGGTAAGGTTCTCCCTTTTCCATCGCCATGGATGGCTGCTCTGCTCCACTCCTGGGATTCAGCTGCGTTTCCGTGCTGGGACAGGGGATGCTCCCAGCCGCCGGCTGTCTGGACTGTGTGCAGCATCTGGGTAGCACATGCCTGTGATCACGGGTGGAGGAGAAGAGCTGACATTGTGTACAAATCTTTTTCCCGGCATCTGACCGAGCTCACATTGTGCCCTGTGGTCCCCTCCTCAACGCTCATCATGCAAGAAGAGTCAGAGGAGGGTTACCACTTGCCAGATTGTGGGTTTGCTGCTGCTTTCCAAGGTTGCTGGATGGTGAGCACCAGTGAATTAAATGTAAAGGTAATTTCGATGCCTTTAAATCAATCCAGGTGGGTTTTGTGGTGTTCTGCTGTCCCTTGGGGATGCACTCGGAGGCGTTGCTGGGTCCCTGTATGTGTGTAGGGCGGCGTGACCCTAACAGGGTGGGTTGTCTAAACTTGGGGCTCCACCCTGACTTTGCCCTGGCCTGCCATACTTCTGCTAACAGGTCATCTCAGTCGCGCACAGCCAGTCCCACCAAGCTGCTACTCCTGCTGGTTTGTGCCACCATGCACCACCTCTGAGATGGAGGAAGTCCCCCAAGCGAGGGCCACCACTGCCCCACTCCCAAGTGCCACTTATCGGCACGTTGGCCGCTAATGGGGTCCCTCTGCTGTAACGCTGATCTGCCTGGGCCAGGCTGGCAGGGAGGTGGGAGCCACAGGGGCGCAGCCTGTCACCCTCCATGCTTGGGGAACGGGCCCCACTGCTCCCCACTTGCAGTCACGGTGACTCCTCCTAGCAGCCAGGATGTCTCTGACACGAATGTACAGGGACCTGCCCGCTTCGGTTGAAAGCTATAAACATCTGCAGGGGCAGGATGGGTGCGTGGCCAGCGCCCAGCTCCCTGCCCCGGGGCTTGCCCCTGGCTGGGGTGTGCTGGCTGCAGTGCGTGCCTACCTGCAGGGAGGAGGCACAGCCTGCTTTCGCTGTGTCCCCTCGCGTGCTGGAGGGGATGTCACAAGCGTTGTCTGCTGGGCATCCGCTGCGCCGGCAGCCGTGACCCAGGGTAAGCCGTATTTCTGCCAGATCTTTCTGCTTCTCCCCCCGGGTTGGTCAGACGCAGCCGTCACTGGAGAGCCCTTTCCTTTCAGCTCTGGGTGAGTGGATGGAGACTTTCTCCAGCTCCTCGCCAGCGTGGCCAGTGCCTGTCGGGGCTGCTGTGGGTTGCTTTCCAAGTGAGTGGAGATCAGCAGCGAAGCGCGACTGCTGCTGGCGGATGCAACCTGCTTATCAGATATCCGCCTTGCTTCCTCCCCGTGGGGAAGTGCTTTGATCCAGTGGTGCAGGCCCCCGTGCCAGACGCAAGGTCCAGTCAAGTATCCGTTGCCTGTATTGAGGGTCCTGGCACAGGAGGCACAGACGTGGCTCCAACAGGGAAGCAGGACCCGATGGCCCAGGGTCATGCCCTGTGCCGCTGGGGCTGCCCGTGCCTCCCTGGGCGTGTGTGCGAGTGAGATGGGTGATGTGGGGAGAAAGAGCCAGGGGCAGACCCCAGTGAGCCCTGCACCCCAAGGACCGCAGTGGGTCGTGGTGTCACGACACGGGAGGGTGAGGGGTGACCTGTAGAAGTCGTCCATCAGTGACAGCCAGCCACCACCATGTCTGGAGGGGATGGCCACACACTGACACCTTGTGATGGACACAAAGAAGAGCAGCCCAGTCTCACCTCCTGGGAGCTGGTGCTGCTGCTGGGTTCATGTGGTGGGGTAGCCCAGAAGGGTACTCGTAGGTCCTGGCACCTTGATGGTATCTTTCCAGGCATCATTAGGTATAGGATAGCTCAGCAGCTACCATAATTACCAATGGCCACAAGATTTGGACTAGATGACCTTTAAAGGTTTCTTCCAACCCAAACTATTCTATGATTTATGCTAAACCTCTGTTCCCTGATGCAAGACTGCTTTTGGAGAAGCCGGGATATAGCTGGAGGTGTCGCCCCTCTAAGTCTCTCAGCTCCCAGCATGTCCACGAACACTTGCTGGTAACTGATTTATAGGACAAGACAGTTCCTGGCTAACCTCAGGACAGAAGTGGTGGAAAGCCACTTGTCACCATCTGCCAGCTCTGGAGGTGGCTCATCTAACTGCAGTATCTGGACTGTAGATGCTATCAGCCCTGGGAGCCTGAGATCCTTTTGATCTGCTGTTCGCTGTCTATTCTTATTTCTTTCTCAGCTCAGGACTGGCTTGACGTTTGCTACTTTCCTTCACTACCACTCTTCTCAGTTTGGCGATAAATGCCCGGTGGCTGGTCAGGCCTGCTTTCTTCCTCGCTGCTTGCTTTGACCGGAGGAGGCACTAGGCAAGTGCAATGGGTGACAAACTGGAGGCAACAAACGCATTGCTGTCTGCCTGCTGGCACCTTGCTGAGTTCCCGGCAGTGACCGCTCGCCTCTGGGCCCAGGGAGACAGGCTGTTCAGAACAGTGTGTATTCCCGAGCCAGGGCCTGCCAATGCACGTTCATCAGAAATTACTTATTACAATGAATTTTTCTTTATTAAAAAAAAATGTTTCTTGACTGGTTCATCAAAGCTGGTCTGCAGGGGCTGTCCTAATGGCACGCCTGAGTCCTCAGCTGGGTGATTATGTCTTTTATTTGTTCAGCAAATTCTCACTCAGTGCAAAAAGCTCAAATGAAGCTGCTGATAAAGTCCCTCCTGACTGCAGGGAAACCTGGAGATCTCTCTCTGATCCCTGCCCTTATCCGAGGGGCAGGCAAGGAGAGCTCCACAGTCAAGGGTGCAGGGCAGGAGCAGATCTCCAGTACCATCTCTAAGCTTCTGGCATGGGGAAAGCCTGGTTGTACTTTACTAGATACGAATACTTTTCCCAGCAAATCCTAACGGTCTCTGTTAGAGCTGGCGGTGAAACGGGTCACGCCGAGGTCCCCGCTGCAGGAGCAGCCCCGGGGCTGCAGCGGGCTCGTGGTTATGCAGAGCAGCAGCTGTGAATCAGTCTCAAAACCACCTCTCTGTGTTTGTGTGGTGCTGAGCCGAGATATGTGTCCTCCTCCAAGTGATGGCTGGGACATCCACCTGTGGCACGAGCACACGTGCTTCTGCCCTGCCCGCCGCATCGGCGCCAGGAGCAAAGCAAAGTGAGACGAGGCTGGGCTGAGGGTGACTCTGGTTTAGACCAAAGAGCATTTTCTGTTGCGAGTGCTGCGATACTGAACCCAGCACCCGCCGAATCCTGGCCACTGAAAGCACAGGCTCCACGCATCATGTTGGATGGACAGATCCTCTGTATTTGCCACCCACGGAGGAAAGGGGCATGGCACTGCTGCTGGGAAACAAAACTGCTAGGAGACTTGGGGGAAAATAGCTTAATTGCCTAGAGAGGCTGATGAGAAAGATTCAAAGATAAAATTACCATTTTTAATTTTTTTAGCGAAGAGATTTGCTGATGCTTTCCACAGCACAAAAATGTGTGAGTTGGCCAGGGTTTAGCAGAGGTTACTTGGAAAGATTTTTAAGAGGTTATGTGCTGCATTAATAAGAAGCTAAGGGAGGAGGCTGGTAGAACCGTGGGAAGGAAGGTTTTTATCTTCTTCTTTGCAAATTTGCACTGAATTGCTCAGGGGAAAGGAATAAGCTTCAGGAAAACAAATTCCAGTTGTTTTATTTTCCTCCTCTCAAAAAATACGCTTGGGGTTTCAAAGCCATGTTTCCTTTAGTGATTTGCCCCAAGCTCGCTGACACTGACTGTATCACACCTCTGAGATTTTCACTGTGATATCAGTACATTCAGACAAGGATGCAAATGTAGAGTATGAAATTGTGTCCCTGTGTGGGACAAGACCAAAAGTTATATAGCAATGCGTGGTGGGTCCCACTGTTGAACAACCTGGGAGGACATCTCAGGAGGGAGCATCGTACAGGTGGAATGAAATTACAACCTAAACATCACTAAGATGGGAGTCTTCTTCCTGTTTTAATGAGATGTTTGAAACAAGGATCAGGAAAAAAAGTAGAAACCCCACCTGTTTCTGTTGATGCATCAGAAGTGATGTTGGAGGCTGTGTGAAGGAAGAAAAGCAGTATGAACCATGCTTTTGGTTCAGAGTTCCATGGAAGGTATCTTTTCTGCTGGAATGAGGTTTAGTTTTGCTCATGGACCTGGATAAATACAATTTGACTTATGCTATGCCTGCACAGGCTTGTAGGCAAAAGGCAGGGCGAGAGGGCAGAAGAATCCTCTGCCAGATTGCTCTGGGTAGAGACAGATGTGGAGACATGGGGCCTCCTCCACTGGATGAGAAATTTTCTATTCTAAGGCAGCTCCCCAAATTCTTAAATCATGCCTGTGTGAAACTGCTAGTTGGGCAGTGAGGAAGTATGTGGGGAGAGCTAGATGGCACACTGCTCTGGAGTAGCTGTTACTCTTGACATTAGCCAAGGGAGTCCTTCCTCATCATTCATGAGTGCCTGTTAATCATGACAGTGACATTTAAAAGCTAGCTGTTGTTTTTTTTTTTTTTTAAAAAAAAACGGTCAAATGGCTTCCAACTTGCTTCTGCTTTGCAGGTGTTCCCTTCCCCAAGCAGTTCCAGCAAGTTTGCACTAAGATCCTCACCCGCCTCTTCCGTGTCTTTGTCCATGTCTACATCCACCACTTTGACAGCATCATCAACATGGGTGCTGAGGCTCACGTCAACACCTGCTACAAGCACTTTTACTACTTCATCAGGGAGTTCAGCCTCATTGACCATCGGGAGCTGGAGCCTTTGGTAAGGATGCCCCAGGGTTGGGGAGGTGGAGGGGGTGAGTGGCGTGGCCTGAACACAGCACTGGAACATTCAGGCGGGGGTGGACTCTGAGCAGTGCAGTCACCCTCTCCGGACTCTTTCAGCCATCCTACTGTTTTCTATCCTGTAACCATCAGCCTTAGTGCTCTGAGAGAGAACCTCCCAGCAACACTAAGGAAACCCTTTACCCTTTGAAAACTCTCCTTAAAATGCCTCCGCAGCCTTGTCTATGAATTGCTCTTCAGTATCCTCAGGCCCACCCTAACATAGTGTCCCTCTATACTGTCTTGGTAGCTCTAATGCAATCTGCACATCAGAGTGTCTCCAGCCAGTTGTGTCCACATGACTTTCAGGGGTCAGATTTGAGCCCAAGTCTCCTCTCCAGAGTCTCGAGTTTTCCTGTTAGGGACTAAGGCCCTTGTTTGAGATCCCAGTGTGAATTACAATGAGGCATTACAGTGTGAATTACTCTGCAGAAAGGCAAGCCCCAATAGGACATGTGGCTCCAGACAACAGCTATAGAGGCCAAGCGGGAGAGGCCTCACTCTATCTCCAAGTTTCTCTGCAGCCTCCCTTGGGAAGCTATTAGCCAGGCAGAGAGTTCTTGAAAACAGCAGGACTGGTAGGAAGCAGAGGCCAGACAGCCCAGGCACATAAACTAGAAAATGCACATAGTTTTGTAAGAGAAGCAAGTGTGTCACAGGCAAGGGTTGAATATGATCTGACCTAGGGAGGACATGCTGCAACAGGGAGAAGAATTAATAGGGAACCCAGCAGTTAGCACACTGTGATAGGGGCTGGGTTGCAGAAAAGGCTGTATCCAGCAGCAGAGTGCCAGGGAAGAACAATATCTAATTCCAGAGAGAAAGAGCTGAGAAAAGTCCCAGCATGAGCTGCCTGTTTCCGAGTATCTGGGGGCGGGGGGGCATGCCCCTGCCCCTAAGTGCTGAGCGCTTTACTCCTTCTCTGCTTTCATTTGTCTCAGTCAGTTTGCTGCCTGTCTGCTCTGGTCATGATTTGGCGGGGGATGGAGAGATGATGATCTAATCAGGGGAAACTTGAATGACAACAGCATCAACATTAATTATTTCATGGAGTTTGACTGTGATCTATATTATCACAATGGCCCTTAGCTCCAGAAAATGGCAGCTCAGTGTCACCCTGTCCTCTGTTACTCTTCCTCACCACTGCTCCTCATAACAAACTTCTTTAGCATTGAAATACAGCCCATAATGGTATCTCCTTTGACTGATGCTTGCTAATGTAAATAATTGGCACCTAATAGCCAAAGCAGAGGATGACATTGTTAAATAGGCTTTCAATGACAGTGACTCACATGCAACAACAGATGATTTATGGGTCTGGATGAATCTAAGATGAACAGATTTTCCCATGTGATGCAACCAAGGTTAAACTACAGGGAAATGAGACACATTTACCTCTGGTCTATCTGTGTATCATTTCATGGTGTGCCCACTGCCTGGCATCCAAGCCTCAATCAGACCCAACCAGATGGGAGACCTCCTTCCCTCAGGCAATGACTTGCTGTGGTTGTGTATGAGTGTCCTGCAACCAGAGGATAGCTGTGTCTGGCATGCAATGCTGAGTTGAGGGTGGAGGCACAAGTTTCCGTATCTTATGAGCAACTTTCTAAAACAAAGTGGTCTTTCTGACCATGCTGTTACGCCAGGGAGGCTGCTGCTTCACACTGATATCAGTCACAAAGTCTGCATGGGTTAGGATTGATCCAGTAGCTTCCAAAAGCATTCCTTTCTGCTGCAGGCAGGGAAAGCAGTAATGGGAAGTTTCTCCATACACATCCCAGGGGCTTTCCAACAAGCCCCTGGGAGCCCAGTGTGGCTCTGGTTCACTGTGCTGTGGAGTGTGTGGGGAGCCCAGCATCCATGCTGTTTTGGCTTTGTTTCAGCAGCAATTGTGAAGATGCACAAATATTAACGTCCAACCTCCACAGCACTTTACACTTGACCTTAGTCCACTTTCCTGTGACTAATTACTCTCCCCAGCCCAGGGCAGAGCACCAGTGACTTGCTTTGCTCATTTCCCTTCTCACTGGGCTGCATCACAGCTGTTGTCCTGCTCCTAGGTGTTTTTATGTTCTGAAGGATTCATCAGCTGGTTCGACACTTAAGCAAGGATAGGCAGTGCACTGCATCTGCCTTCATGTTAGGCTAAGACTGCAGGGTATCGTTTTTATAAGTTCACGAGGTTTGTGGAAAGGCGATAATCTCTCAGTAGGGATGAGATGAACTGTCCTTGAGAGGTTCAGTCCCTCTTGATTGCCTCATGAACTCAGACCTAACCTTGCATTTAGATGGCCAGTTAGTCCACATGAATCCCATAACAGAGGAGACTGCTGCCTGCAGAGGTGCCTGTTCCCTGCATGTGACTATGGAAGGCCACCAAGCATGTGGAGGGAGCACATCTGGATCAGGACCGCAGGTCTGAGTGCTGTATTACGGCTGGTGCTTCCCAGATGTGGACTTTCTACTGAGGAGCCCCAGTTTTCAGATTTAGGAGTAAGAAGAAAGAAAAAAACAGCACCTCCCCAGCTATAAAATGTCTTGTTAGGCCCACATACCTTAGAAAAAATACAAGGATTGTGAGATGAAGGAGTTCTTGGTTTCTAAGCCTGCCTCTGGCTGAATATCCCTTTTCTGCCTCTCTTTCCCTTTTGCCAAGCTTCTTTGGGACATGATTTCCTAGCAGCAAGTCTTGGCAGTCAAGAATGAGACAGATCCTTTGTCCAGGCAGAACCAGCGAAAGGCAGTGAGTCACTCTCTTAAGAAAACAAGAAATACGGGGGCAGAGAGAAGCCGTGCACTTGCTTCCTTGACAAGGACAGGTCATGGTGTTGGGCAGCAGCACTGGCAGACGTCCAGCTTGTTACGTATTAAGGCAGAGCTGTGGGGATTTCCAGAGTGTGATGAATGCCTTGGACATTTGGGGCCAGCTTGAGGAGCTCACAGGCAGCTTGGCAGCCTATCCTGTTCCAAGGCTGCCTTTGTGCGTGCTGCTGTGCTAGTGGGGTGGGCTGGATGCTGCTGCAAGAGGATGTTCACAGTCTTCTCACCCCCCTCTTTCTCCTTCTGAGACGTTTGCAAAGACTTCCCATTTGCAACGTGATTTTGTGGCACAGCATCATCTTTTCATCTGATAGCAGGGCTCTGGGATCAAGAGTTTTTGCATGTTACTCCAACAGAGAAGTCCTCTCTTTGCCAGTCTCCCCCAGTGGATTTTAGAACCAAAGCTCTCAGCACTGAACTGCTGAGACTGCAGCTTCTCTCCCCCTTGGTTATACAGGATCCTTTTATAGGATTACTCAAAGTCATCCTACTTTCCTAGTTCTCCTTTTTTCAGAGTTGCATCCTTCCTTCCTTCCTTCCCTCTCTGCAGACCAGTCCTACTTCAGAACTATTTTGGGAGCACATTTTAATGTGCAAAACCATCTCTGGAGCGTGGGAGGGGGTCTGTGTGCACATGCAGATTCAAAAGCCACGAACCTGATGAGCCAAAGAGAATCACAAACTTTCCTTGCTGCAGCAAGGTACATGATTTGCAAACTATTAGTTGAGATCCTTAAGACAAGTATTATCTTCCACCAGCTGAAGGCTGGACACCTACCTTCCTAATGCAGCTGGCATGATGCCATCCTGGCTAAAGAAAACACTCTGCTAACCTAAACACAGCTCACTCTCACAGGAGGCTTCCTGTGGCCCTCTGTTATTAGCACTCGTTTGTGCTCCAACGTGACCATGGGATCCGTTGCCAAAACCCCAAGTCCTTTGGGTGAGCTGTTGTCACCTCCCAGAGCGAGAGCTGGGCGCAGCTCCGTGTCCCATCTCCCTAGGCAGCTGCAAACAGCAGCTCTGAGAGCGGCACCGCCTCGCCTGGCTGTTCCGCGGCTGAGTCAGGAGCAGGACCTGCACCTTTCAACATCTCAGCCAACGCTCTTTCCTTGGACTGCTCTCAAAGGTAGGGCATGGCCAAAATAACCTTGTGCAACAGACACTGAGGAGGATGCCAGGAAGGAGCTGCTGAGGCAGAGCGGTTCCCAGGAGGGCTGGCATGGGAAATAACGAAATGCTCCCCACGACTCCCACGGTTGCTTCCTTGCGTTGTTTTTGGACACTTACCAAACTGCCTGACATGTCAGTCTACTAAAACCTGTCTTTTGCACTTACTGGTTCTTTCTTTTCTCTCCCCCTTCAATGCAGAAAGAAATGACAGAACGAATTTGTCACTGAAGCATTTTGGCAGGCGAACTCAGCCGGCTCATTCAGAGTCCGATGGGACAAGACACCCTGTGGTGGGAAACCTCTTCCCAAGGACTTGCTCTGGGCATTTCACCTCAATGGACTATGAACACTGCCAAAGAGCCTCTTCAGGCCAGGGCTGAACCCTAAGCTCGCCAAGCATCTCTGGACAGAATTTTTTTTAATAGATCCGTCTCTGTCGTATGGCTCCTTTCTTAGAAAGCCACTGACTTACGGGACAATGAGGCAAGTCTGGTTGACTTTTGCACACTCTGGTTTATAGGACAGAATCCCATGCCTGATAACATCCCTTCAGCTAACCTTCTTCTTTTTTTGGCCTCAGCTACACTGATCTCCAAATGTTTTATTTGTCATTCCTGCCCTGAGACCAGGTGTGACTTTGGCTTTCGAGTCATGGCTGCTACCTTTCCCACATGTGCAGTGGGTTTGTGATAGCATCCCAGATCAGCTCTGCAAAGTTGGTGACATTTGATCCCAGCTGCCTTCCTGTGGCTAGTTGCTGATGTTTTTAACCATGAGCTCTGAATGTCTCTCCTTCTGCCCTAATCCATGCTTTTCCAAAGGGACCGTTTTTCCCTGCAAGGGATTTTTCATGCTTGGCAAAGGGGACTTCACGATGTTCCAAGATGCATCCAACACTGCTTGGACTGATGGCAAGGTGGCCCCATGACAGAGGAGGAGAACTAGGCCACTTTTCAGTGCGATCAGCACAGTCTACCTGAGAAAGACTCGGAAAGTGGTGGAAAGAAACTGTTGCCAGAAAGCAACATTTGAACACGTCAGTATTTCCTTACATGTTGTCTTGGCTCGAGGTCAGTAGATGCTGGCTGTAGAAATTGTTGTGTTTCCATTATCCAACCCTACAGCACAGTAAATCAGGTGGAGAAGGACTTTAAGACTATCCTGTTCTTCCAAAAAGACAGGATTAGTCCTTCTTAAGCCTTTTTGACCTTTTGAAAGCATATTATTGCTTCCTGGTCTGTGCCATTATTTCCCTGAAAGGTATCACATCTCAACACTTTTCCCTCTCCTGCTTGCAATGCCTGACAACTAGGGTTGTGTTCCCTGTGTCTTTTCTTTTTTCTTTTGACAAGAGTTGAAGTCTTTTTTACTGTTTTGGGGGAATTAAAATCAAATTGTCTGAGCCACAGCATTGTTATGTTTGTGTTTTCTCCCCTTTTTCTGGGCAAGTTTTGTATACCAGACACAGATGATATTTATAATCTGGGGTTTGTCCATTGTTGGGGTAGGGAGGGGATGCGGCTAAAAAATGTAAATATTTAGGCCAATATTAAAGTGCACAAGTGAATTTTTAGTGCTCAAAGCACTTATTTTGTTGTGAAAAATCTATTTTTTTCTAATCTTGTGTACCAGATATATATTTTTACATGGAAATAAAACAGAGCAAAATGGACACAAAACCACTTGATACATCATTCCAATATTTTCAGTGTAAAATAATCAGTAAAAGTCCAAACATATTTGTTCTGTTACTAATTAAAAAAACATTAATAAACCTGGTGTACTTCATTCTTCCCTGATTCAGCTGTTGTAAGACAGGCACCATGAAAAAGCACCCAGGATAACCTGAAGAGTGGATTTCCCCTGAGAACTGCAGCACTGATGGGTCTCAATGCCATGCTGAGACCTCAGCTTGCATCTCAGAAAGCGGCTTGACATAGGCTAGTATTGCTGCCCTGCACCATCCCTGTGCCGACTTTTCATCAGCTTCCCACCTGAAGGTATTTTTCCAGTGATACACAGTAGTGAACTTTACTCACTACCTTTTGCAAAGGTGCGTGGTTCCTGGGTCCTGGGAGCCATGTTCCAGCCCCTCCACATAAATCAGAACCACAGGCACAAACTGCTGTGTGGTGCAGAGGCAGGAGGTGACAACAGCTCTGTTGGGAACCTTCTGCCTTCCTGAGGAGTGAGGCCTGGTTGGACTCAATGCACAGGACCCTCTGGGAGCTGGTAAGGTCGGGACTTAGGGAGAAGCTGTCTCAACAGTGGGGTCTAAGGGATGAACTGGCAGCAGCCTACAGCTACTTCGAGGTACAAAGATGACAGAGTCAACCTCTTCTCAACAGTGGAAGACGGTGAGACACTGACCAACAGCCACAATTTGTGGCTTGGGACATTCAAATTAAACAACAGAAAAAAAAAATCCAAGAGGGTGGTGTGGCCAGTGAACAGATACCCAGAAACCGTTAACCATCCTCAATTTAGCCAGACTTGGTGTAAATAATGCCTGTGCACAGAAGCCTGCTTATGTCTTTGTCCTCCACGTTGTCCTGCAGCCATAAGTTCCACCAGGTAATTATTCATTACGTATTACAAAAGGTGAGTGTGCTTGGTTTATTTTTTAAACCCATGCCCGATGATTTCAGCCCTCTTGCTTCGGGAGTGTTTCCTGTTTACCTCCTCCATACCATAGAGCTCCTATAGATTCCTGTGGAACAGAAAGCACTATTTGCAAAAGATCAACCCACAGGCTCATCTCAAGCAGCAATTTAGAAAAGAATTTCAAAAGTAGGTTTTGTGGGGTTTTTTTTTGTTTGTTTGTTTGTTTGGTTGTTTTTTTTCCCTCTTTTCTTTTTAATCTGGTTTAACCAAGGAAACAAAGCTTATGATTGTGTTATGACAACTGTACCTTTAGTAACTCTGGAAGCAGTATAGGAAGGGGAGACATCGAGATCATTCATGGCCAGAAAGATCTTTCTGTCTCTCTCCAAGACACTGAGCTATTCCCCTGGTCCTCATCCATCTGAGTGCCTCCCAGTCTGGACAGTTTTAATGCCTGAGCACAGCAGAGATGTTTATGAAGTAGAAAGCACTTAGCTAAGTATCTAAGTCAAACTTCTTCTCCCTTCGGGGGCTGAAGTGTGCCTATGAGGCTCCAACATTCCCCAGAGCTTCAACAAACATCCCTGCACAATTTGAAAGCAGGAAGGAACCTTGGGATACATTAAATATGCACATAGCTCTTGTTAGTTCCAGCTCCCCAAATGACTCATCTGCTCAGCTGGCTGCCAGGTGCCTGGGACTCATTTGAGTCTTTGCAAAATCCCTGGGTTCTCCTGACGAAGGGGAGATGTGCTGCTGCCAGGATTTTATCTTCCTTCTCCGCAGTCACCATGTCATTCAGGACCAAAAAGGCTGTGGCACTGGTCACCAGGTCAGATAGAGGCTGGCACGAGAGAGACGCTGTGCTCTGTAATGTCTGCAAACATTGGAGAATTTAGAAATAGCCTTAGATGGGGGAAAAAGGGGCTCTGTGGAGCATAACAGTTCCTGTCCCAGTGCCACAGGGATGGGACATGGAAAGGGCTTGCGCTCAGCCATTGAAGCATACTGCCTTCAGCTGGGCATAGCTGGGGTCAAGGCTGACCTACCCTGGCAGCAGCCCCACTGGCAGCCCAGTGGGGTTGGGCCATGGGGTGGTGGTGGTGGGGTTTGCTGGTCCGAGTGGTGGCTCCTGAATTTAAGTTTGCCTATGCCAAGGCTGGACAGTCCCAGTTGAATGCTCACACTAGCCATGACATGATCTGGTCTGAGGTATTCTTCCTCCCTCGGTGAAAGCTTGTAAAATGTAAGAGAAGACTTGGGAAGAGAGAAAACAGAGCCAAGGAGAAACTGTTGTTTCCAAGGGTTAAAAATCTGTCCATGCTGGGAGATGACCATAAATCATCCACTTGGGATCAGAAAGGGATGAGATGGGTTAATAGTACTAGATCCATTCCTTGATTGACTTAGTGGAGGTGGGCTAAGATGCTGACTCTAGCAGAGAGTTTCAAACTAGAGGCAAGAATGTTTCTCTTCAACATGTGCAGCTTTTACTTTCTGGAGGCTGACAGCTTTGCTAGCACAGCTTGGTCGGCCACATTCCCTCATGCAGGTCAGGGAAGGACAAATGACTCATAAGTGTCAAGAAAACCTCGAAGCAAGAGCGTGGCATTCAGCTCCCTGCTGAAAAGAGACCCTGAGTCAGAGCTGAAATGCCAGTGGTGCGTGAGGAACTACTGCATGTCTGCAGGGATGTAGAACATAGCAACAGCAAATGAGATCTTTTAAACAAAAGTGTTTCTTTCTGTAGAGGTGGCTGGAGGCGGGGAAACAAAAGCATGGTCTGCCTGCAAATTTACTGAAGGTCTCACTGGAGCACAATCCCTTCAGCTCCAATCAGACACCTCTGATGCTTTGAGATACTGGGTGATGGCATCTGCTGCTGACATCCACAGGGCAGGACTCACTGTGGATGTCAGTACCTCTGTAGTCACTCAATGCTGGCCACACTTTGACTGTCCCAGGGTCTCCGGCGTCTTCCAGTGTCTGAGCTCACCCACTCTTTCCCCCTTCCAAACTGGCTCACCACTGGAGCCAGCCACAGGTTCCTTGGCAGCAACAAGGATAACTGGGATAGGGCTTCTCTTGCAGAACAGTTGGGTCCAGGTGCTGGCTGCTGTGGTACAAGGTCGCTCTATACTCAGCAAGTGGTGGTATGCATTTAACATCCTCCTGCTGGGAACAATAACCAGGAGGGGGACGAAAAGAATCCGTATTTTCATGATTCTTCAAATTGTATGACCCTTCAGCCTGTGTGAGAAGGAGAAGCTTCGCTGCCATTTGGGTAATCCTCCAGCAGCTATTTTATTATTAACTTCAATGAAGCCGTACCACCTGGGAGGTGCCATACTGGAACAGACCCTTCCCTTGTTATTTAATAGTTTATATCCACTGGGCCAGTTACCAATTGCTTTGGGCTATGCCCTAATGATGGAATGAAGCACTTTGCCATCTGTTCACGTGGCTGTCAGGTGAGTGTATGCAAGAGCTGGTAGTCTCAGGGCAACTTGCTGTAGGCATCCTGGGCTGGTGGCCAGGACCAGCACTGCACTCGTGGTCTCCCTCCCTTGGGTCTTACTCCCCTTGCAGTTTTCCAGTAGTGCCAGGATTCTGCACACTTACGTGCACTGGGCGGAGTAAGAGCTGAGATGTACACAAGGTCTCAGTCCCAGACTAAACTAGCAGGGTGGATTTGCTGGTTTTGGTGGCTTCATACAGGTGG